ATCCCTTTTGAATTGCGGTATTTATTTTATTCGTGTCAATCCATCAAGGGATTGCTTAGAGAAAGTGATTTTCGAAACTCCCAAAGGTATGGGGCGTATTCTCATGGGTTATAATTCTAAAGAGACCTATCGTATAATTAATAGGCCTTTAAGCGTTTTATTTCTATCAAGTCTTTAACTAATCTTCTTTTTGATAATTTTCTTCTGCCTCGTAGTTAGCTACTACTTATATACAGGATGGCCAAAAAGTCGTGGATCAAACGCAAATAGGTGATAGATGAGGTCATCAGCTGCAAAAAATTGTTCTACGGGAGGTCTCTAAGCTCAACCCCTGCAGAGTTATGATTTATTTTGCGTTTTATAAGAAAATTGACTTTTTTTACTAATTCTTATTAAAATTCGAAAAAATCTACATCCTGTATCTTTGATCCACGACTTTTCACCACCCTGTATATATATTAATTGTGACTCAATTTACCTTTGGATTAGCTTATATATATATATATACAGTCAAACCTGGATAAGCGAGAGTTCAAGGGAGCACAATCTCATTCTCGCTTATAGAGGTTTCTCGCTAGCCCAAATTTCTCGCTAACCCAAATTTCTCGCTAATGCAGGTACATGGATAGCGTTTCTCTCTTATAGGGGTACGCAGCAATTACAAGTCACAGCAAGTACCAATGTAGCAAATATGTAATATGATAAAATTATGTGCATAATGTGCACAACATTATGATGTACATATATATTTTATTTTGAACTTATTTACACTTTAAAAAATCCTGAATGAATAAAAAATGACAAATTTGTAATTTGTTACTGTATGTGTGTATGTTTATTGTAGCTATAGTTCCTCCTAAATAATAAAAATAAATTAAAGCTCGACTGTCGCTTATAGAGGTATAGATAAGTAGCAGTCTCACTTACGGAGGTCCATGAGGGAAAAACGACTCTCTTTTACAGAGGTTTCTGATTCTCGATAATAGAGGTTTTGGGAGCTTAAAATGACGAATCCCGGCTATTACTCTCACTTATCCAGGTCTCACTTACCCAGGTTTGACTGTATATATATATATATATATATATATGATTTTGTATAAGGTAGTGAAATGTAAATAAATAAATAATAGTTTTACAGTAAATTAAAACGACAACTCAGTCGACGGTAAATCTGTCCATCTACTTTGACATACCGAGGTGTAATGTTGTATATAACATCGCAAATATATTTTATACATATAATAAAAAAAACATCAAATTATATTCTTTATTTATTTTTGAACTTGTATGTCGCTGTCCTAGCTTTACTAAATTATAAATACACGTACATACTACAGTTATAAAAACGCGAGCCTTGGTTGAAATGTGAAGGTAAATCAAATCGCCTCTTAGTCTGCCATTATACAGTATGCGTGCACGCATTAACAAGACACGACCAAGGTCTGTGACTTAAATTACTAACACATCTAACCAATTGGTACGCAAATCCATCAACTAATACCCGTTTTGACGGATCCGGGTGATCACTATAGTTAATAACAAATTAAAATCTGCCCTCGCGGCAAAGCAAATCATAGTTAAAAGGTAAAAAACCGCCTTCACCACTTGGGAAGGCGGGGTAAATATTTATTATTTTTTTAAGTGAAACTTCTTCGTGCATGAGGGTAAAATTTTTAAAAAACGTCACGAAGATGTGCAGCGTTTTTGTCGAAGAAAAGGGAGAGAGCGATTGAGTGAGAGTGAGAAGGGTGATTACCTTACAGAAATTATATTTTTAAAATATAAATTTCGTAAAGAGAATTTATGAAATATTAGTATTTTATGTTTTATGCAAAATAATTTATTGAAATCTCAAAGGACGATTTGTAAATTAAAATGCCACGAGTTTTTATCATCGAAGAAATACATTAAATTTATAATTTGTATTAATTTTCGACACTTTTAATATTTTAATGACAATTAAATTCATTAAATTCCTAACACATCTTCTTTTTTCCCTCACTGTAAGTCTCGGAAATCAAAAGTTTTAGATTTGTATAAATATGTACAAGAGTTAAAAATTAGTTTGCCAAAGAAGTTTTTTTTTCGGCAACACCGATGCGCGATTTCGGAGATGTGTTTCCTCCTTTCTCGGCATTTGTAGCCGTTGTCAGAATGAGATTTAAATTCCACATTAGAGAACAGTCAGCTCATCCAACTCGGTGATCTGGAGAGATATGGAAATCCGAATCCTTTAATAATAACCGAATCAATTCGACTTAGGGTCGATGAAGAGAGAGCGTACCAATTCTTTCTCTACTCGCCCTCTGTCATTGAGAGTGTCCATGGGCACATCACTTAACATCAGGTGAGCCTCCTGCCCGTTTGCCAATAAAACAAAATCTCGTCAGAGACATCACTCTAAGACGGTGTCTGCCCAATAAGGACATTAATAATTATAAATAAAATATATTTTAAAAATATTTTCTTAACACATTTAAAATATATTTATTAAAAAAGCGAAACACGAATTCTAAGTGGACCATTAACAGAACAGCACATTTGAATGTAAATAGTGATCGCAAACGCTCACCTATTTGCATTTCCCCGTCAGCATGCTAAGTAGATTCTATTTTTAACCAGCTAAAGGGGGTATTTTTCATTTGGCTTTAAGAAAACTTCTCAGGACGACGAGGACTGTGCCAGTAAGCACATGTTAGCAACGGGAGAAGTGATTGAGAGAGAAGAAGAAGAGAAGGGAGAAGTTTGTGTCAACGGAACTTTTAGAGTAGAGAGTCCCGTCACCCAAATAGCGAACTTTCAGTCGATCTTTCGACAAAATCGAAATTTTCATATGTACATCTATTGTTTCTATGAGGAATAACTTTCCAGAACTGTTTGCAATCCTGAATAGCGCCTCAGATTGTGGGGGGGTGTATTTTCCCAAACGGCATATCGCTTCTAATCTATGAATAGTACCAAAAATTGGTAATCTACATCATTTCTCTATAAAATGCCAAAATAATGCGCTTCAGATTTCACTTGAAAATTGAGCACCGCTCTATGGTTGTTCGCTATTTTAGATGAAGATGCGCGATCCACCAACAACTCCCAAGAATAATATTATGTGTGTGAATAGGTGAGTAGTATTTATGATTTTAATATTGCTGTCTTATTCATTTCTCGCTTTCTCTCAAAGCGGTGAAGACTTCTTCAAGCCATATCGTAGTGAGCTTGCCCTATAGCTTTGAGATAATCCCACTACCTTGAATTATACACGTAGGGCTCTGTCCAGAACCTTAGGCCTCTTAGTGCAGACATTATATATTCACTATTAATGTGTTCGTGTATATCTATAGGGCTTAGGGATCTCTAGGGTTGTTAGGTCTCGCCCTCTCATATATTTAGTTATTTCGTGCAGTTTTCTAATACATGCGGTTTCACTGGCTGGCAAGAAGATTCAGCAAGCATTTCAGATCCAAAATGTTTTAACAGCTCAACGAGTCATAAACAACGAGTATCGGAATAGCAAGTGTAGATCTGTGGTCGTTTTAAAATTATTGTTTATCAGACACAACTTCTGAAAACGTTTATTGATGAGATATCCGAGACTACCAAAATTCCTTGAAAACGTCGGATAATGAATTATCAAATAGATTATTATAGATAGAAGACATTTTAGCAAAAACAAATGATAAGGGTACTCGTGTATTCTTATCTGCGTTTTTAAGTCTCGACTGTCTACTTGTTATGTGAATTTGTTAATAATACATTGTTTTTATTATTTACAATATTATGATGAATAAGGAAAGCTATTATTATTAATTATTTTAGTTATATAAAACTGGCGCAACATCAGCTAATGGGACAAGGGGCACAAATGCGAAAAACTTTAACCGGTATCGAATCAATAGTACCAGGGACCCAGAAGTACCGCGCATATTACACCAAGGAAATGACCGTACTTCATACAAATATGTTACCTCACTTTCAAGACCAATTAAAATTATTAAGCCCGTTTCGGAATGCACGCTCATAATACTAAAGTCGTGTATAGTATGTCATTGATTAAATAACACGTGGTATTTTTCTACATACTCGTATATGAGTCAACACGAAGATTCATTACGGAATAATACGCAATTTCTTTAACATTTGTTCATCCACGAAACTACTTAGCCCAGTGTTACACTGTGTTTACTGTTTATTTTAATATAAAGCTAGCCTAATCACAAAAGATGTCCATAATTACACAGTACGCATACTCTAATGATGCAACGATATTGCGTGCGATTTGACGAGGGTGTGGTTTACACAAGGTATCAATTTCGACAAGAAATTAGTACGCGGTACGTCAGTTCTATACGATTTCATTTAATCATAAAATTAGACTCATTCATTGGTATTTGTTTGAGCTGTGAGACAGCTTAAACAATGCAATTGAGATTAGGTTTTTATTGAAATGAATAAATAATAATAAAAGCGAAAGATTATTTAAATCTGACAAGTTTGGTGTCCAATGATTGAGGTTTGTTGTTTAAAATAACTCTACTAAACAAATTCGCTTTGCCTTGTTCTGCAGTCTATGGAGTGAATATTCTTTGTCTCTGGCTACCTCTAACTATTATATATAAACATAAATTATCTATAGAATTTAATTGAGTGCGCCCAATGCCAACGCTAATACAACTTTTAAGTCTTGTGATATACTTAAAAAAACGTAAATTTGTTATCTTTTTTAATGCGTAGTTTTTAATGTTAAAATATATATATTATTTTATAAAGTCCTTGACTTATCAGTCGAGTATGTACTTACATTTTATTCGCAAAATTGACGTGCCCTCGTTTTATCGGAGACAGACGCTGTGACGTCAATCAGCCGTTTTATGCATAATCTCGTATCATACACGACAAATTCTAATAAGATACCAATTAGAATGAAGTATTCAATACGTGTGACAAAGAATGAGGAACGAAACCGTAATAATAACGTAATAATAGCTAGTAGAAAATCGATGATATCAAGGTCGTTTTACCTGCTTTCTTTTGATCGGTAGTTGTTTCACCAGAGGGTGCGATGGTACAGCGTGCGTTTCCCTCGGATCCCTCGTGGATATATCGTCCAACAAAGCTTCACACTTCTCCTTGTCCCGTTCATCATCCGACACCAGAAGGAACCGCCTCCATCTCGCCGAATCGAATCCCCAATGGCACGTGCGATGCTCGGTCGTGTGAGTATGGCACACGAACCGACGCGGAACATAGATCCCGCGACATTCCACACACTGCACTAGTCCTAGTTCTGGCGCGCAAACACCTCGCGCACCCCCGAAACACTCATGATACACCCGAAATCCAGGCAACTTTTTGGCTGCCGCCGCCGGGGCGTGCAATAGAGCCGCGCAAAGCCGCTCCGCATCTGTCTGAGTTATCAAACCGCAAGACGGAGCCGTCCTGGGCAGCACACCGGTCGACTTCAACTCGTGTAATTGCTCTGGCGTGCACCGCGAACAGTATATTTGTAAGTCATCACACACGCGATTGATCTGTTCCAAACTAAAGTCCGTCAGAACCGAGGTCAGAATCTGCGGGAGGCAGAGTCGACGTTCGCCACCGACACTGAAGCAAGATATCGGCTCTCCTTCGAGAGCAGTCTCGCCGCGTTCGCCTAGCACTGGATCGGCGGCAAGGAGAATGGGCGGCGCTACTCGAGGCAGCGGTGGCGGCGGCGCCGACGGCGGACCTGCGCGCCCCACGCCGGGGCCGTGGAGGCTCCGCGGTGCACTGGCTTGATAGGTTCTTAGCACCGAACTGATATGAGGCGTCACAATATCCATGGTCGCGAGCTACGCCCGACTAGCGCGCGAACGGCCGCGCGTACGCGAGACGCCTCGACAGCGGTCGGAGCATGTCTGCGACGGATCGCGCCGCGCCCGCCTTCCCCGCGCCTGCTCCGCCGCCCCGTCGACAGATCCGTGCAAAAATAAGCGACGAACTCATCACTGGGCTGACATTTTCCTATCCGATTATCAACTAATCAATAAAATACAGGTGACGGGACGAATATGGCGCGTTATATCTATGCGTAAAGGCGTGGATTCCGAGCGGTCACAGTCAAAGCAGCAGACGGATGGCTCGGCTACTGGAGAGTCTAGCCGGCGCCCCACACCCCGCGCCCCGCATCGCCGCGACGGGTCACGTGACCGACCTTCCCGTCAAAATATCCAGAATGGCGTTGCGAGTCGGCGCTACGTATTTCACATAGAATAGCTACAACAGATACCCTAGATGGTAAACTAATAAGAATGTTTTTTTAATTAGGGTGATTTTCTTATAAGTTTTTGGAAACTAACGGTTCAAGAAATTAAAATAGGATATAAAGATGACTATATAATAACGTGATAAACATTGTAAAATTAGAAAATATTAATGTTATTAATTTACTTAATTCACATTTGATGATGATATTGTAAAAGTAAAAGTTAAAATTATTTATTAATTTAGGTAACACTTACGAACCTCCATTAAGAAATACGTATTAAATACTAAATGCTTCTAATTTTACATTTACTGCCAGTTCTCAAATCAAGGGCGTAGAACGGACGAAAAGAACTGGCAATAAGCACTACGTCCCTCTTTTAAATCGCCAAGATTTTTGTTTTACACATTGTTTGTAAGGAGCTGTAAACATTACACCATGTTCCACATGACATCTTAAGTAATCAATAGTTAATTATTAAACTTTGAAAAGAATTTAAAAATATCGTTGCTTTATGAAAAATTACGGGATATTATTTCATATTCTATTTGTTCATTATTTTTATGTGGCTTATTGATCAACATCTGGAAGTCAGATTTTCAATATTCTCGTTATTAAAATTATATAATAGTTAAATAATAGTAAAAATAATAATTAAAAACAAAGATTTGTCCTCTATCAGCAGTAGGCATGGTGAAATAGGAGCACACACTTACATTGTCGTGGGAACAAACGCAAAAAACTACCATGAAACTGTAAAATTCAACTAATACATAAAAACTAATTCTAACTCAAAACTTCTTAGAGCTAGGAATAAGTAGGTTTTGAATGGAATCTATTCGTGAATGTCTGTTTTGTTTATCTTTGATTGCGCGACACGCGCGGGGTATGAGATTTGAGGTGCGGGGGGAATTTGGTGCGGGACGCGGGGCAAGGGCAGCCGTGTCTAGAGCGACCGCTCACAGCTCCGTGAAAACTGTTTTTATCATTATCCAATATTGAACCAAAATCAAACATATTACAGTCGAATAGAGGCTACTTTTGCATGCAGGTTATATTGTTGTGAATGTCATTAGAATCACCAGTCCATTGAAGTGTGTACCAACGCTTATATCATTGAAATAGGGTCGGATATTGCGTGTTCGAATAAACAAAGCGTTTTGTAATCGCGACCGCCTGCAGAGTGGAGCTATTTTGTACAGTACTGAGTTGTTGATGTTTTGCGTCATAGTATTTTGTATGGACTTAATTAAAGAAACTAAAGAATGCTATTCATTGTAAACATTTTTTAACAAGTAGAGTAAACAATGGTACGCTAGGTAGGTATTCAAATACTAAATATTTCTTGGCAATTTTTTTAAAGACTGCAATTAAAACGCTTGAATTCATATTACTAATATATTTCTCTTAATTAAACTTTAAGCGACGATCAGAAATAAAAGTAAAATTACCCCCTTAAATTAAATTCTTTTTCTACTTGTCTTGGCCCTCTAGTTCGCTTTAAAATTAAAAGTACCTAGTGAATTGACCTTATAGTGTTAAACTTAATGCCTAGATGGCAGTAAACTATAGTGTGAAAATAAAAATTGAATATTCTGTAGCTGTTATATGACATATGTCATAAGTATTGAGCTTAGTTTTGTCAAATTTCAACGTCATTCGTTGCTTCTAGTTTTCGGTTTTTATATTGTCAAAATTAATTTATACACTTTCGCCCGTATTTGCAAATTAAGTTTTTTGTTATTACTCGATACATATTGAATGTTATGTCGTCGAGACTGGAATAGTCGTGAGAGCTTATCTGCAATAAAACTAAATCAAAATAAACTCGGCAGGCATTCGGCTTCGAGCCTTCAAGTAAGTCAATACGTGACGACTCCCTCATAATCTTCTAAAAATCTTTTGTCGATGTTCTTAGCTCGAACAAAAATATTGATTCTGCATTGATTTTAGATTTACATGGATCCTTGGGGTTGTAAAATTAGTATATCAGAAGTTCCAGCAGAATTTGAAGATAATTTCAAGCCTGAACAGAAGTTTGATAAATTGACTGATTCTGCCGAGTACCTCGCCGTCCTCGGTAGGTTAATTATCCGATGTTTATATATTTCTCATTATCTATAATTTTTATCACGTTTAATTGGTTTCATGTGAGGGGCAATTATTATCTTACGATATGTACCCTTTGTTTCATTATACTTCTTTTTTGTTTTTTTCTTTAAGTGCTTCGCATGTGTTTTTTGCAAGCAATTTTTCATTTAAAATATATTTTTACAGAAAGAAAACTAAAAGCCCTAAGAAAGAAAAATAAAGTAGTTGAAGACCTAGCTGCTTACAGAGCTGACTGCCTTGATCGTCTCCTAAGAGAAGGTTGCGATCTTGACCCTGTCATTGGTGATACTGACTCTGAGAAACTCATCCAAGAATAAACTAACAGTAAGTAATCATGGCATCATCATCATCTAACATTGATCTAACAGGACCCACCTTCTGCATTGTGACTGGGTCTTCACAAGGCATTGGAAAAGTTATTGCTATTGAGTTTTCAAAATTATTTGGCCCAAATTCTGTGTTGTTGCTTTTGGCACGTAAAACAGAAGAATTAGCTCAAACCGCAAAACTCTGTGAATCTGATAATGTTAAAGTTATCTACAAATCCATCGATTTATCTGTGGCTACTGAACAGGAGATGTGTGATATAATTAACCAGGCATTGAGTGGCCACAAAGTGACGGATTTCACCGCCAATATAATCTTCCATAATGTTGGATCTCTGGGCAACATGTCCATTAAAACATCTTGTATAGAAAATGTTAATGAGATGAGGTCATATTATGACTTGAATGTCTTTAAAGTGATATCATTGAACACTCAGTTTTTGAAACTGTTTGAAGAAGTTGAGGACAGGATTATCATTGTCAATATTACTTCCCTGTGTGCTGTTAAACCAATGAGCGGCATGGCATATTATTGTAGTGGCAAAGCTGCTCGTGAAATGTACTTTAGGGTCCTTGCAGAAGAGAAAAAGGACATGATAGTACTTAATTACTCCCCTGGGCCAGTGGAAACCACTATGATTGATGTTGTCATTGATAAGACTGTTAATGAGAATCTCCGTGACGTATTCACTACCTTCAAAAAACAAGGTACTCTGTTAAAAGCTGAAACAACAGTTAGAAAATGTATCAAAGTCTTAGTTGCTGGTAAATTTAAGTCGGGAGATCATGTTGATTTCTTTGATGATGAATAGATTCCAATTATATACTCAATATGTGTGTGTGTAGCTTTATTCTATCTATGTGGTATTGTGATCTTATATTATATCTTATTGTATTATAGGTACATAGGTATGTTTTAACTTGATGCTATCTAATATGCTTACATGTTTCATGTATTGTGGAATTGTATTTCCGTACTCAAATTGCAGTATCCTATTAACTCTTATTGTATTTAATATATTATTATGTATGAATGCAATTCATAATAATAAACGCTTAATGTTGAACGTTTTTTTACTTACCCTATAATTTCTAGTTCAAATGAGTTACATTCATATTCGCTTTATTACTTTTCAAAGATGAAAAAAACAAAACGCATGACGCAAATAATTATTACACAACATCATGAAATAAAAGTAATTAGTGGAAAAAATAATCATCTTTAAATGTTAATAACAATTTTAATTAAGTAAAGCGTGTTTAACAACGACATTTCGTTCATTTAATTTTTAAAGTTATCGTCAGGTGAGGTTTGCAGTTCCGATTTTTTTGTTAGGTTATTTTTTAACAATTATTGTTCAACCATTAAACTGGTATTTAATTAAAGATTAATCTAAACCTAAATTATGCTGCAAACATGTTTTAGTCGATAAATTAATTAAACGAAACTTTACACACATCACTGCCCATGAAAATAACCAATTCTTTTACGCAATAAGATCGATACCACAGTTATTTTTACATAATCAGACTAGTTAACAATTCGCTTTTCCTCAGGCTCTTTTTGCCGTTCACCACCACTATGTGGAATCAGATGACGAGGTATTTACGAATTAATTCGACTTAAGGTCCATCAAAAAAAGAGTGTACCCATTTTCGAAAGGTTGGCAACGCACTCATGTACATTGTATGGATTACGGGCAATGCGAGTCTCCTGCCCGTTTGCCCTTCAACATTTATTATATGGTGTCGTATAAAAGTCTTCCTTGAGAAATGGCCTGTACATTTTGATTTAAGAGACCAAAATATAGATTAAATTAAAACTACGATCTTATTATATTTTTATCTTGGTACGTCTGATGCGAACCTATTAGTATAAGATCCCGATATACAACGACCTTCACCGAGATGCTTATTTAATGAAACGTATTTTATATTTAATTTAATATGTCAATAAATATAATCCATATATATGGGTTGCCTAGCAAATTTCAGTCCAGAGTATGATTAATTAATATTTAAAAAAAAAAATATTTTTTTATAATTTGCATGTAGTAAATTTTTTTAATTTTTTTCAATCAATATTTTTAATCAGGGTAGTATTATATATGTATCACTATAACTTTCCTTTTTACTAAAGATGTATAATATATACTTTAGTGTCACATAAAAAATATACACATAAATAATTAATTGATTAAAAACAACCTAACGTTTGCATATTCTATGGGCCTCATACTTTCGATTGGTATAGAATTTATCTAATAATCATACCGGTGAAATGTTTAAAAAAAATATATTTTTTTATATTAATTAAAATACTCTGGACTGAAATTTGCTAGGCAACCCATATGGATTATATTTATTGACATATTAAATTAAATATAAAATACGTTTCATTAAATAAGCATCTCGGTGAAGGTCGTTTTATATCGGGATCTTAGACCATATTCCCGATACAAGTGTATAGTGGCATGTCCTAGCTTCGCACCGCTGGACATTTATCGCTTTATTCTTTCTAAATATAAGCTTTTACTCAGTGGTGCACACATCCAATAGTGAATATATAAAGTAGTATATAATATATATAGTAGTAGTATATCTCCAATTTTTTTATATCGTTGTTTATGACTTGTATGTAAGTAATACTAGGTAGGTAAGTACCAATAATATTACATGTATGATGTAAATGATATTGTCTCAGTTCCCAGTGGGTCCCAATGAATTACATTAGGGGTCCAAAGCCATGCGCCTCCTTAATATTTGTTGAGGACTACATACAACTCTTATAGATCGATAGAAAAAAGGTTACGTTAAACTTTAAAGCCATAAATTTGTACCTTCTTTCAGTGATTTCACAAATCATGATGTTTTAATTAATTTCTATAGCGTTAAAGAGCATGCACCATCATATTAATGGATGGTACACCATTGCCGAGTGATGAAAATATATAGAAAACAATTTGGAGCCGTTTTAAGGTTCGGATTCGACAAGTCTAACCAAAAAACAATTATTCTTAACATATATCGAAAGATGGAATACATAATATATACAAAAAAACATGTGTGTCTACTTATGAATACGCGTTAGAAGTTATACTTCTTTGGCGTAACAAGATAAAATCTTTTTAAATTTTTTATCATTCGCCTTATTCTACGTTTGTAGAAAATACGACAATAACAATAGAAAAAAGGTATTTAATACATTAAAGGTTTTATTATAACGCATTATTTAGTTAAATAAAGTTTATTTAAATATCACAAAAAAATATTGCTACATAATTAAAGAAATAGCCATTTTTTTTATGTTGACTATGCTAACTTCAGGGTGTCGGATTTTTGACAAGGCGTGCGCGCGCATCGTAAAAATTCTCGTCATTTTTCCCTAACGCGCTAAAAAAAGTATAACCTCAACAAAAACATTTACGAGAGGAAACCTATCAATGTACTTCATGAAAACCCAAATTTAATCATTCAGTATTAACATTCTTATTTACGATATGATATCATATCCGTCTCTTTATAGGTCTGCAATGAATGTCTTAGTTAACCGAATCCAAGAGTTGTTCATATTTTCACACGTAAATAAGTTCGACTTCGCCTCAACAGGGAAATAATTTCAGTTCACATAACTGTGGGTAAGATACACCTATTGCCATAATGATATAACCTCACTCTACTTTCAAGCCCTTGATACAGTGCGTTTGTGAAAGTAGCCTAAGCGATAAATTGTGCAATAGTAATATAATCTAGATATAGATAAAAATTAAACTACAAGCTATTAGTTATCTGTGTACTCTATCGGACTGTACTTGTTTATGGCGGTAGATTTTTGAGTTATAAACAACATTTTCTGTGTTATAACAGTGATTACATCCAACAAATCGCACAATTTTAGTTTGACCAGGTAAACATTCCAATTCCTATTTATAACTTAGAGTCTACGTCACTATGCTTAGTTTATACGAAGTGCTGGGTTTTGCCCAGGAACAATATAAGTTGCCAACGACTTGGAACAGCGTCATCACGATGAAGAATGCGCCGTCTCTGTGGTTATACATTTGACCTTCACCGTGAGGTTTTTGTACTTATTTATTTATTTTATAAAAAAATAATGTGACAAATATACATATAGATAAGTGAAGTTAGGGCAACGGCCTTCGGACTATTTTGAATAGTTTTTGGAAGTGGCAATAATAATATTTAATTGTTATAACTTAATATTTAACATGTGTTTCAGGTTCCTGATGTAGTGAAAACTGTTTTTCGGGAGCCTGTGTCATTTATTTATTTTTATTTTTTTAGACAATTCACACCAATTGACCTAGTCCTATGCTCAACTGGTGAAGCTTGTGTTATGGGTACTAGGCAACGGATATACATACATATTATAGATATATAGACATATAAATACATATTATAGATTGATAGACATATAAATACATATTTAAACACCCAAGACCTAAGCACAACACCAAATGCTCATCACATCGGTGTTCGTCTCAGCCGGGGATCGAACCCGGGACCCATGGATTCGCAGTCAGGGGTACAAACCACTAGACCAATGAGTCGTCGCGTATTTATAGTGCAGCAATAAATTTTTTTATTGAAATTATGTTACAAAAAAAAAACAATTTAAATAAGTTACATCTTATAAAAAATACCTATAGTGATATTCATTATATTTACGCCTTTCGTAGTGCGTGGCCGGCAGGCAGTGTGTGTCTATGGGCGGCGGTAAAACTAAAAATCAGATGATCCAGCCCGTTTCTTCTACACAAATGTGACCTTGCGTTAAGTCTGACTCCCGTGAGTCAAAAACGTATTGACGTTCATAAGTTTGCATAGTTAGCGATATGAATAAATTACATTTGATTTGAATATAGACTATATTATTGTATGAGCCAAGGCTGTATAGAGTATATTTTGCTCCCTCATCCGGCTCGAAGGACCAAAATGTACGGTTCCTAGGTAAAGGGTGCTTTAAATAATAGAGGATTTTAGTTTTACTCTTAATTAACCACTCGCGTACAATAATAGAATATAAGCGAAATAATTAAATGTTAATTGCTATGAAACGAATGCAAAGTAAGAAGAGACTACCTACGTCTGGCTATGCACTCAGGGCGTAAATCCGTCGATTTAGCAAATCGCCACGCTTATAAAACTAAGAAAGCCTGAGTGAGCAAAATCTACAAGTAAAGTTCTATCACGTTAGATGATTTATTTTCGCGTCCTTACGGCTCACGACCCTTTAACGTTATTACTATTTCGTTAATATGTAATTGTCAATTCGTAACTTGGTCAGATGTACGTAATAATGTTCGCACTTTAGCAAACCTAAAAACCTCGGCCAATGACGTCCTTATTTACGGGACGAATAATAATAACTGTTATTTGTAAAAACACATTTTATCCAACAATAAAAGAAAATATAATATTTTCAGCTATCCAATGACGGCCGGGCGGAAAAGTCTATTTCTTTTCCTCATGAATCTGGCCTGGAAATGCCGGTTCAGTATGCCGTTACTCCTCAGTGGTACGATGGCGTTATTGGGGCAGGCCTGGATGTTCCAGATTCGAGTCCAAACCGTACAAGAACTGAATGAGAATGAGGTTTCATAGTTATATAGTAGTTATCTTTGGTAATTGATAAATTTTAAAATAAACTATTCTTTATACCATCCGTTCATCTATTTAAAACAATGGCGCTGCAACTCACGGTCTTTGCCATAGATTTATGTGTGTATTGTGATTTATTTTTCTTAAAAGGCAAGTAGATCTGTGTCTGTCCTTCTGTGCCCGACACACACCGTCGACTTTTTGGGTCTAAGGCCGGTTTCCCTACAAGGTTTTCCTTCACCGTACGAATGTGCACATAGTCAGAAAAGTCCGTTGGAGCTGGGTTAGAAGCCACAACCTCATTTGTATGTACAGTCACAGGCACTAAGCCCAGGACTTCAAAAATCGAGATTTACAAATCGACGGGTAGTTTTAGTGTTAGTAGAGAATATTATACTTTGTAACTCAATGTATCACATATTGAATGGAATTGCTAGATTTAAATGAAAAATTTCTGATTTTTTACTCAAAACAATAATACTATGATACTAATCTTATATATTAAATATATCATGAAAGTCGAGGACCAAAAATGGAGCAAGTTTATGACCATTTGTAAGATAAATGTCACCATTGATGCATTTGGAGATTAAAAAACGTAAATAAATTTATTTAATTATTGAAGTTTGCCACATCACACAATACTATTTTTTTGGTAAAGTTTTACAAATAATAAACTTTTACAAATAAAACACTTCTTTGGTTTCGCGCTCAACGCCCGAGTTTTAGTAACTTACGAGTCGTTTACAGAAAGATCGACGACACGTATGCAACTTTATTTTTATTTACTTACTTCTAATAGTAAAATCTAATTAACGTGTCACAATGTTCGTTCCCATACTCCTTCGAAACGGCTCGACCGATTCTTATGAATTTTTTTATGCATATTCAGTAAGTCTGAGAATCGGCTATTATCTACCTTGCAAACCCCTAAGTGATAAGGGGTGACCCCAAAATTTTTTTTAAATTTAAATACATACAACCCTTTATTTTCACCTACCCTTTATTTCACCTACCCTCTATTTTTTTATTTGTTAGTTAAGAACTTATAACTTGAAGTCTGAGGTTTATATAGAGAAAAATCACAGAAAAACCTTGTCATTACGGAAAACCGAACATGACAACAAACAAACATAAGACTGTCATGAAAAGGTAGGCTAGGCAGTAAGGAGAAACGAATTTCCTGGGGGCAGCTGCGCATTTGGCTACCCTTGTCAACTGACTTGCACCAACCTTAGTTTTGTAAAGCGCGTGACTCTTAATAGGATCCTGGATTTCTACTCTGAACGTATACTATAAGATTTTCTATGTGTTAACACGTACGATGAGAGAATATCGTGGGGAAACCGGCAAGTCCGAAATAAAGACAACCTGTGTTACAGAAGGCGTCACCTTCTTGTCTATAAATGAAATTATTCATGTATTAGACTCAGAAATATGTATGTTCTATACACGGTTATGGGTTACTTCTATTACCCTGGGGCGAGAGAATGTGCAACGAAAGACGAAACACGGACCTTTGCGTTTGACGTATACTTACTATGTATGTTATTGCCAGTTCTTGTCTTCCGTTCTACGCATCATAAGTGTACATTGCGTTACCTATATGAATAAATGATTTTGACTTTTATGACGTATTATATTAGAGACCCCCCACTCTAGCGTCTACCAAGCGTCGTCGTCGTGTCGCCATCGCTGGCGAACGCTTTTTCTGGCGTCGCGTTCGTAAAAAACGCTGCACTGGCGCCGCGTAAGCCCGGGGCTTGCGGCACGTGGCCAGCGCTATCGTCACGTCGCGTCGCCGCGGCGTCGGTGCTGACACGACGACGGCGCTCGGAAGACGCTAGTGTGGGGGGTCACATATGTGGTAACGTGTGACAAATCGCAATTCAACGGAGCTCGTTATCGTTTTGTCTTTCGTTTCACTATCTCAGCCTGAATTTAGATAGTTTCTAATAAGCAATTTGTCCGCAGCTGGCATATTACGATGATGACGATATGGACGATGACTCCCGGGACACTGAATCCACTGACTCTTGGGAGACAATAGTTGAAGAAGTGGCGTATGGATGACTGTTATTCAGCTTAATATTCCACCATGATCACGCGCATGTGTTGTTTAATCGTTTAATACCAGAGTAGATTTTCTGGAATATATGTCAGAACAACTTTGGCTTCAGCATGAAATTTACGATAGTTTTCTATACGGTATTGTCATTTTTTGACACCTCTAAAATGTGTTGTGTTACGTTTTAGTTCCCGAAATAATTTGTGTAGTATACACGTATTTTATTCGAGCCTTCGTTTAGTTCCAAATACGCCCACGGTGCGCTTCTAAAGTATCTGTCTATTACTATCCCGTCAATACTATTGAAAGCAAAATTTCATTATAACATGACGTGATTCGTTTACGTTTCACCTTTGCTGCTCTATTTTAAGGTTCATTTTACAATGTATATTACATTGTAAAATGAACCTTAAAATCTCTAATTTCGAATTTCGATGGTAGCATTGATTCCAAATTATTATTGTAGTCGAACTTAGGTCAATACCAGATAGTCTGTGCGCAAAATGAACCGTCGTATCGGAGGTCAAAACAGTGTTAAATTACCTTTTTGTTATGTCATAATTCGACACTTTTGACAGTTACCGCACAGAGTATCTTTCTTACAGTCTAATTGTCAGAGGTTTTTGTGGTCTTGACACTTCTACGGTATTTTTGTCAATTTACGTCAATAAGTCAGTTCTGACAGCTTACAGCTATTACAAATTATGAGTGTTCAGTTTATTATGAAATAAAATAAATAAATCCATGTAATATTTTGTTCCAATCCAACAAAATTGTCTTACATATAAATAATTATTTTATAGTGTTTCCTAATACTGTAGTAATATCACCAAACCCTAGTGTAAGATTTTGAAAGACTTAGCGTTGAGTGTGACTTCTGTCTGTCAAAATCCAATAGGTTAGGAATAAAATAATAAATATAAATAATTGAAAAAAAAAAAAAGTTCTGCCAAAAAATAGAAAAAGAAACATACAAATACATCACTTTAAAAACAAAAAGAAAAAATAAAGTTTTCCTTTGATGTATCCTAGAACAGTTTCACAGATTATAAAAGACATCAAAGCGGTAGACAAGAAGACTTTTGTGTTAAAATCCTGTTAAAGTTATTAACACGATTAAAAGAGTTTAATACTTAGCTTTAGGTCTCCTTACCCTTAGATTTATTTTCATTTATCACATTCCAAGACATGGTCTTATAAAACGTGGAATATATCGTTTCTGTTACCATGGTTACACGGTACAAGTCCCTCGATTTATAAGTGCGTAGAAATGCCTCAAATGTATACATATGTTTTTATTGTGATATGGGGAAAATATTTAATAGTAATTCCAGTTTAGGTTTAAAAATTTGTATATTTTTTTTATAAAACAGGGGGTTAACGGGCAGGAGGCTCACGTGATGTTAAGTGCCCATGAACAATCTTTTAATAATTGGAACGCATAAATTCAAAATTCTCGTGTTTGCAGTCACCGAAACCGCTTGAACGACTTTTATTGATATTTTTGTATATTCTGGTAGGTCGTACATTATTGTTTACCCTGAAAGGTGCCCAATTTTTGAATTTTCTGGACAGTTTATTACCAAAACTTTCACCTTCTACCAACCCCCATTTTAGTAGCGATAATATAAGTAATAAATTTTATAGTATACATATGAAAGTGGAATGTTTTATTTTGCGGGTGTATCACAATTACCGGATTGAACGCATGATATTCTATATATTGATCTATGTTATAAAACTGACCTATTCTGGATATCCACGGGTCAAATGTGATAATTTTAAGCCGCGAAACTCATTGAAAGTGGTTGGATTGGCCAAAATCAAATTGTCGATTAATTCAATCCTAGAACCAGTTATGGTAATAATGTGAATTGACGCAAATACTTGTTTATTTCCTTGTTTATATTCAGTAAACATTCGCCATTGTACATGTACAGTTTTGTTAAAAATATATTGTTTGAAATTTTATTTTGTTTGAAAAACTATCCCTTTATAGAATCTAAAAAAATATAATATAGATACTAAAGCACTTACGTTTTTTAACAGGGGGCACACGGGCTGGAAGTTCAACTGTTGTTAAGTGATAGTCGTGAGCGATAATGAGAGCCGCCCATGGACACTCAATGCCAGAGTATTTTATTGAAGGACCCTAAGTCGAATTGGTTCGGAAATACTTCAGTGGGCAGCTGGTTCCACATAGTGGAGGGCATGGCAAAAACTGCCTGAAAAACGCTCAGTCGTGGAACGACGGACGTCGAGGTGATACGGGTAAAAACGTGAGATATAATATCGAAGGAAACGATGACGCGTTTCGCATGATTTTGGACCAATCACAGACACGCGATAGCGGTCGACCAATCACGCTACATCATTCAAACGCGCCTGATTATTATTCTATTTATATATAGACTATATTATATTTAATTATATTAGTATTGAAAGATGATACGATGATCATGATTCGAACACTGTTGACTAATCACAAGCTAAAGAATCGCATATTACATAAAATACAGTGTAAACTCGAGGTAGCACGATTTAACGACAAACTCCTTTCAACGCCAGAAAATGCGAGTCACTTCAGCTTTTTCTTTGGAGATTTTCCATTGGAGAAAAGAAAAGAATGCCAGCGGCCACTGACAATGTAAAGCATTATTTTATCAGCATGGGATTTGAACGCTTTTTGCTTAAATATTTACGATGCGCGCGCACACCGTCTCAAAACACCGACACCCGCACACCGTCACAGAAAACCGACACCTTGAAGTTAACATAGTTAAATTTTTCCATTTTATTTTTATTTAATTTTTAACTTTAATTATGTAGAAATAATTGTTTGTTTATAGTAAACTTTCAATGTATTGAATAAGGTGAAAAATATTTTTTTAAAAAGATTTTTATTTGGCGTACAAAGAAGTATAACGTCTAACTCGTGTACATAATTACTCACACATGTTTTTTTTGTAGATCCTTTCTTGTGTATTGGAATCAGTAGCGACTCCTTCTAATCTGCGATCCATCTTCCATACTTGTTTAATTTTTAATCCGGGCTGATTCTTAGATTTTGTTTGCTTATTACATCTCCAACTACGGATTCAAGAATATATGGTTCCATACAAAGTTCATCTATGCATAGAATATTTGCAGTTCTTGTTGCATCGTCCGTGTAAAGGGCTTCACAATACCATCACCCCTGTCCGCCGTTTACCTCGGTTAGAGTTATACCAGCATCGCTTTCTATAGCCTATGTTTTCAATATATGTGTCTCTCTCGTATTATGGATTTAATCTTAATGAAGAGGTCTTTCGTTTGAAAATTGTGCCCATGTTCTTTAATATCCTGCATATTGAGTTGAGATGAGCGCTATAGTATCTGCAACACAAATTGAACTTCTGCCGAGTGATTTCGGTATTTTGAGTTGTAATCCTGTACCTTTGGGGCCGTTCCTGTGTATCTTTGATAGCTCTCCACGTCTCTTCAGTTTTCCTTTCCTTTTCAGAATATATTAAAGTTTTGTTTTAATTTGTCTGTACACATGACGTTCAAAAACGTTTTGAAAACTGGTTTTGGCTAAGTAAACAATTCTGTATATCGATTGTTAATTCAATTAAGTGCTTTTTTTAAACGAGTCTATTATATATTTTGTCGATAAATTATGTGAAAATGTTAATTTCTGTATACAAATTAACAGAAATATAATGGTGTTTATCGTAGGCATTTTGAATTGTGAATCGTGACGCTGTAATAATATGGTTTAAAATCTTTTGCATGTTGCGTGAGAGTCGCAGTCTATCGTTAAGCTTTACTACGATAGTTATCGTAAATTCTGACTTTGTATTAACCGTGAAATTAATTATAAAATTAATGCAATCAAATACATATAAATACCTTCTTGTTTTTCATTTTGGTTTTTAAATGTTACATCATTAATTATGTAAATGAGTATAATAGTGCTTGTACGAGTCAAGGCTCCACATTTTGCTTACTCAGTCTTTCTTAGGCTGAATTTAGTGTCACGCCGACCGCACGCGCACCGTCGGCGCTGATGGTCGAGATATATGAACTTCTAGAAAGCGTTTTTGAATGACGCGTAGCTATAAGCGCGCACGGTGGTCAGCGCTGATGGATGCGCGGCCGTACGCGTCGCTGTCAGCGCTGACGATCGCTAGAGCGCCTCTGCTTTCAGACTTCAGAGAGCGTTGTAGTGTCGAACGGAGCGGACGTCGTCAGCGTGTACAGTCATGGCAAATCGCGAAGTGGGTACAGGTCGAGTTATCGACGAGGTACGCCTGAGGAAGAAATTGTGGGATGAATCCGACCCACTCTACAAAAATATCTTGTTGACATTCGAAAGTAATTAAAGAATTTGCTTTCGTCAGCCCTCAAAGTGCGATATAACCAGATAAAGTCTCCTGCAACGGTTTTCTGCTCAATCAATGGATGAACAAGGAGTCTTCGTCGTCGCCGGTTTTATTTTTTTGAGATAGGTAGTACAAAGCAGCAATAACTAATACACTCCGCATTTTGGTCTTCGTCTGTACAGTAAGGCGGTCAGTACGATACTAAAACGAACCACGGTGAGCGTGAGACTAAATTCAGCCTTAGTTTTATAAGTGTAGCGATTTCCTAAATCGTCGGAGTTAAGCCCCGAGAGTATAGCCAGACGCAGGCTCTCTTTTCAACTGTTTCATAGCAATTTACAGTTCAATATTTCGCTTATATTCTATTAATGTACGTGTGTGGTTAATATAGTAAATATAATCCTCTACTACTTATTTAAAGAAACCCGATGATCCAGGAACCGTACAGTGCTAATTCTGTGAAATGTGTGTGAATTAGATGCTAGTCAACATTGCCGGAATACTCATTTTTATAACATAGCAAGATTTTTATCTAGAGTGATGTTAATTCGCTTTACAGTAGATATAAATAACACTGCTGCGCGCAATTTCGCCACTCACTTGTGGATTTAGTACCAACTCATTAAACATTGTTGACATCTCACGTAACCACTATGGCTTTCTCTGATATAGAATAACAATGACATGAGTATTTCCTCATCGACATATATGTATTTCAAATTGCCGTTGATGTAAAAATTTAATTTTAAAAAAATAACTTTTAAGTAACACAATGCATGCTAATCGAACTTGTTGCTATGAACCATCTCGGTCACATCAGCCATGTAAAAACTCGTAATCGATTCATTCGTTTAGGATCAATAACGTAAAACTTTATTACATTAATCTACTTGCGTCGTAATACCCAAAAAATTTCGAATGGATTAAATTTGTTTTATAAGCCTTAGTTTACAAAATGGTTTACGAGTTTCGACCAATGGGCTTGTATCCAGGTCATGTAAAAAAAAAAAAACTGTCAATAGCTCAGCCTCGGAGTAACTAATACACTCCGCATTTTGGTCTGGATACCGCCAGAAAAGTGAATGCTCTCTGTACATTGGATTTATTCTAATTCAACACAGCACACGCAATTAGAGGTTCTTTAATGTAATTAGTATGCGTTTACCAATAAAGACAACTCTATGGAAAGGACCAAGAGGAAGAAGGAGAAGAGGTCGTCCTAAAAAAGGTGGATAGAAGAAATAGAAGCGGTTGCAGGAAACGAATGGAGAGAGCCAAAGACAGTTGGAAAAAGCTGGAGGTGGCCTTTACCCGTGAAGAGTTCCGATCGACGGTACTGAAGGAAGTTACGATATAGGACAACAAGCAAAAGAAAAAAAAAACATGTTTAAAAATGTAAAATAATCGAAGCTGTATAGCATAATGAAATAAAACGGGCTTTATTATTATTACCATAAAATAAAACATTGTTTATAGTGTTTATTTGTATATACATTTACGTTAAACTTAACAAATTTCCGCCGGAAAATACTTCTGCATTCCATGTAAATAAAAAAATTATGACAATACATAAAAATTAACCTCTTTACCTATTTCAGCGCCAATCACAAGATTAACTCTAAATCAGTCTTATTAATTGCTACTACTAAACTGTTTTCATCACAGCGTTAACTTAATTTCAGAGAAACACAAAAGAGTATCTTAGTTAAAACTAACAGTAAAATTATGTTGAAATCATAAATAAATTAGTAACAAATACAATAAAACAGTATGAATGTTTTAACTAAAGCACTGATCTGTTTTCTTCGCAGCGTTAACACAATTGACAGAAATACTTACAATATTACTGATTTAGATTTTACGTATTCTTATTACGCAGTATCAAGGAAGAACAGACTCTCATGAGGTTAATATTGTCCCCGTATGTACCCGACATTACCGTTAAATTTTTTTAAAGATTTACTTAAGTTTACTTCAGTTTACTTAAGTTTAGCTAGGGTAGCTATTACTTTAAGTCGAGATGCTAAGGGTAAGATTCAGACAGTTAAGTCTGACTCCTATGTCAAAAATGTATTGGATTTTGACGGGAGTCACGGTTCGCTTTGTCGTTTCTGTATCTTACCCTAAGACCGCTAGCAGGATGAAGAAGAGCCAATACCAAATATTTCATTAAGCACATCTGAAGTATAAAGCTTTCATTTGTTCTAAAAAAATAAATGTAAATATTGTGTGGGGTCCTATTTTCGCGTAGGTCGGCAGAAATCCGCTCCATAGCGCCAGGATCCCTTCATTTTTTATTATATTCATTAAAACAGTTACTTGCCCCGCCCCTTGCGTTGAATTTTGGATTCTGAAATTTTAAAGTGAGTTAATTGACGATCTCTATTAATTTCTAAATATATAAAACAAAGTCTTGTTTGTTACATGACTTATAACTCAAGATCGGTTGGACCGCTGTTAGTTATCTCTTTTTGGTGAATTCTTCTCCGCTCCGAATAGCAGAATAAGTAATAAAATATCGGATAAGTTATCGAATAACAATAAATAAATTCACTTTACGAATGCACACACCATGTGGTGCCATCTGTTGACAAAATTACGCATCTTTTACATCGAATTCGTGTCTGAAAGAAATTCCTATCTTGAAGTGAATGAGGAGATGCTTAACCAGGCTTTGATCTTGATTGAAGACATGTGTTACCTCATCAAAAAATTTTATATATCAGAAAGTGCTTTAACATGCAGTATCGCAATATTGACCTAAAGTGTAAAACTGCCATTCTTCTTTCGCAATGGTTGTTAAATAAGTTTAACTAAAGTAACAACGATATTATTAGACTGTAAGGCAGAACGAAGTTAGCAGGTGAGCGATCCTTTTGTTCTGGATTCAAAGCAATATAAAGAACATGTATAATAATCGAATTTTGATTGATTTATTTAAATGACAGATATTCGAAACAGGCTACTATTTTAAACCTTAATAATTATACAAGGGGGCCTCATAGCCTAGCGGTCTTATTAAGTGGCAGCTAGGTGAGGGGTACCGGGTTCGATTCCCGGTTCGAGGGCAAGTTTTAATTTAATTAAAATTTGTTCTCGGCCTTTGGGAGGGTTGTGCGGTACCGGGCGAGTGCTTAAACCGTACATAAAGGGCACTGTCGAATTTCTAAAAGACGAGCACGAATTATAAAAAGTCCTATACTTGACGCTGGCTAATGCACAAATCGTGCCAGAGCCATAAAAAAAAATAAAAAAAAAATAATTATACAAAGTTTTAAACAAGTACGTTACGTTAGAATTAAATCAATAATTTCATCGTGGTGTGTAATTCCAATATAAAAAAATTGCGTGAAAACACGACTCGCTCATTTAACACAATTATTCATTCATTCGTTAATTCAATTAACTAGATTTCAATCAACCTTTAAAAACTAAGTCAACCGAATAAATTCAAGCACGTACAAATTTTCGTAACATAATACCCCTTTTGTTTAAATACTTCATGTATGGGCCTAAGTATACGGTGCTATAACATGATTCCTAGTGAAATATTAGAACTGCCTCTAAACAGATTCAAAACACATATTAAATAGTATATTTCATTACAAGTGCGGAAAGCCTGTCATTGCAAAGAGTTTCGACAAATGTCTACCCGAGCCGAGGCGCAGCCGAAGGTGAGGGTTGACAGTCGGAACAAGTTGCAATGACGGTTCCGCACGTGTACTGGACAACTATTTTTAATACAGTTGCGAAAAAATTATGCAATTTAATAAAATAATAAAAATACAATAAACTCAACTAACTAATCATTTATTTCTTATACAAATTATTGTTCACATATACATTGGTACAGTTGTTTATACTAACTGGAGAAGTTTTAGGTTGCATATTTATTTATTGTTTGAGACAAACTATTATTTATTTTGTATGATTTTTCATGTATATTTAATATATAATATAACAAACAACTAAACGCGCAAAGAACATTTTTGGAAAATGGCGCCAACCGTAAAAAAATATAAGCAGATTTTTTTTTTTTCTTCACCCATTCTGGGTAGGCAAAGGGAACTATGCCCATACAGCCAAGTTTTCAGTACAATTTTTTATTGATATGAAATGAAATTTAAGGAGATGAAATGAAATCTAACCTAACTCATTGAATCAAATCATTAAATCTTATATTGAAACAAAGCAGTAGCTTCTTTTTAGAAATATTTGCATGAATCATAAAAATTTCTATGAATTTTTTTTAGTTAAAACTTCGTGGTTGGTTTTTTCTTTTTAATAGACATTATTTTGACAGTTGGGAAAGAAAACGCACTAGTTCGGAAAAGGTAAAAAAAAAGCACGAGTGTGTAATAGCCCACATCCCGAACGCTATACGTCCCTGCAATACGCCACTTTTTGCTGTATTTAAAAAAACATTAAGGTGTAAAGATTACTACACAGTTAATGACTAGAAGTCAAAAACGCTTGGCAATAGTTCTAGTTATAATTTGTTTTGTTATCTTTGAAGTGTTGCGAATATGTGTGTAATGGTGAATGTGGTAAATCACAGAACAGATTTTTATTTTTTTTACTTATGTAACTTTAATGACGTTGTGGTTTATGACATTTTCCTTTGAATAATTGTAATGTAGAGGGAGGGTAAAACTTGCTGAGTTTCTTGCCCGATCTTCTCAGAACAAACGGCGTAGTCTTGCTCTTTCGCGAATTTTGTAAACGTTTTTGACATTCATAAGCATGCCCTAAGACGCATCTAAACTGAATAAACGTATTTTGATTAATTGATTTGATAATAATTAATCAATACAATCGCACCTATTTCCTAAGTACAAAAATAATAATAAGTAATAATAATAATATTAAGTAGCTATCATTACCGAGGTACGGTTGCATTTTATAACAATTATATTTAACCCTAGGTTATGCCATATCATGGTTGCATTCACCAAAACAGTAAATACTTTTTGTGCTCATGATAGTTTTCAGAATGTTCTCAAGACAGGTAATGGATAGGATATTACAATCAAATAAAGAGGAGTCGTCACGGAGCAGTAGGTGTAACATACAAAATACCATCCGTATCACCTCGACGTCCGTCGTTCCACAACTGAGCATTTTCTAAGGCTGTTTGTGCCGCGCACTTTGTGGAACCAGCTGCCCACTGAAGTATTTCCGAAAAAATTTGACTCTTGGGTCCTTCAAGAAAAGAGCGCACCAATTCTTGAAAGGCCTGCAACGCGCTTTCGAGCCGTCTATTATATAAAAAAAAACATCGGCAGAATCAGCAGCCGGTTTCGCAGTACCCTTAGAGGAAGCCACCCGGGTCTGGACTCCGGTTAGGTAGTGCCCATGCGGTATGGGTCCTAGTGTTAGTGTGCGGTGATAATGCCGTGATTAAAAGGTGTTCAGAAATAAGAGACTGTTAAGCATATAATGAATTCATCTTGCACTTTTGCCTGGGGGAGTATGTACGAGCCAAGGCTGTTTTTGCTCACTCAGGCTTTCTTAGTTTTATAAGCGTGACGATATCCTAAATCGTCGGAGGTACGCCCCGAGGGTATAGTCAGGCGTAGGCCCTCTCTTCAACTGTTACTTTGCATTCGTCGTTACATAGCAATTAACATTTCATTATTTCGCTTATATTCCTTTGTTGTACGCGAGTGGGTAATAAATAGAGTAAAAATAAAATCCTCTATTATTTAAAGCACTCAAGTTACTAGTGCAAGTGAGCTTTGATGAATAAGAGTTTTAAAAATGAATCGGGTTTTTCGCAACGTCCAACGTAAATCAAGGTATTAGATTATCGTTTTCTTTCTAATCTGGCTTAAACGGGAAATACGGGAATTAAAAATAATATACCTCGTTTTGACAATATCTACGGGAAGAGAGGCCGCAGATGTTACCAGACCAGCGATCATAGCGCACGTGGCGTGCAGGGGGATGCCGTCAGCCATGCTTCCTAGCAACATTTCACGTGACTGGAATAAAAATTCTTTCTTTAAGACATCGATTTAACTCGGTTGTATAGTCTACAACTCACTAAAAAGTTCAGCATTAAAGCTAACTTAACCCCAGTAATTGCACATTACTTAATTCAACTGAACATAACATCCCTAATAGATAAACGTGCCCCGATGCAAAATAGTTCGTTTAGTATGGAGAGTAGTGCAAAGCGTAAAATATAGAAAGTAAATATTGGTAAAATAATTAAGAACGTTTAATAAAAAGTAAACCACAATTTGAGGAACATTTTAAAGTTTATTTTAACATAATTGAAATTCTTAAATTTATGTAAACATAACATAAAAAATATTTTTTTTAAAAAACATAACGCAAAAGTATTCGTCTACCCTTGTCACTCACGCAAAATAGTTCGTCTACCACTTAGTTGTGTCGCCTTTGCTCTCAATGACAGACTGCGAAGAGGCATGGTTGCAACCAACGCTGCACACTTCTCAGGCGTAATAGACTCCCAGACAGCCGAGAGTTTAGCCTTTAAGTCGCTCTTCGATCTTGATGGATTTTTACGGAGAACTTTTTTCATTTTCCACCATAGGGTTTCGATCGGTGACAAGTCCGGGCCATTCTCCATGGCCACATCTTTGTTGTCCATGCAGTATTGGCAGGAAGCACCATCCTGTTGAAAAATGAAGGAATCTTGATGCTTAAGTGAAGGAATAGAGGGCAGTAAATTCTCTTCCAAAAGGTTTTGATACCTTGCAGAATTGATAGAACCATCCACAAACTGCATACCATCAACACCTTGTGCAGACATGCAGCCCTATATCATAAGAGACGCCGGAAACTTCACTTTGCGTTTGAGACAATCAGTATGAAATGCCTCTTTTTGTTCCGAATCACGTTTTTCCTTTCATCGCCGACTGTCACTTGAAATTTGGACTCGTCACTCCAAATACCACTGATCGGAAGTCCAAATTAACAATCTCTTTTTCTTTTGTACAGCAGTCAACGGTGGTTTCTCCTTAGCGGTGTAAAATCCGTAATCCCATTATTTTTAGAACTCTTTTGCAAGTATCAACTGAGACGTCTTTGTGAATCATGTCCTTCAATTGCACCGTGAGTTCTCCAGCTCGAGCACGACGATAATTTTTGATAATTTTCTTCAGGATTCTGTTTTCTACTGCACTTGTAATACGTGGTCGACGATTTTTCTTTAAACAAGAAGTCGTTCTATTCTTTTTATAGTGCTGAATGTTGGTTGGACTGTAGACCTGGGAAGTATCAAGTTTTTAGATATTTGGTAACTTGATTTGCCAGCATCGACCTCACAAACTATTCGCTTTCGAAGCTCTTCACACACGGGTTTGCCACGGCCCATTGTTATTTGAAAACTAATGAAAAAAAACTGATATTTTCAGAATTTATACTGTCTCACTTGACAAATGACACAGAATTACTTTTACAAAGTTAAATTATGCAACATAATTGTACAAAGAAGGAATAATCTTATTACCGATAGACGAACTCTTGTGCATCGATTAACAATTAGACGAACTATTTTGCTTATAACTTCTTCGAATTTAAATCAGGATAATATGTATAAATTTAAAAAGCTAAAATAGTTTAATGGTTCATAATTCAAAAATGGTATAAGTAACGCGACATGTGATAATAGAACAGCTTAATATTTTATATAGATATACAAAAATAATGAAGTTAGAAAAAATCTCACAGAGAAAATTCACACTAGACGAACTATTTTGCATCGGGGCTCGTATATGTTATATGTAGGTATAATAATAGTTTTGCCTACGTCATTCCCATCATGCCAACCGGGCAAGCAGATACATATTTACTATATTATCGGTACAAATACCCATATTGGAATTTATTACTACACAATTTCATCAACCGATAGAATTTATTGTGTAGATTAACAGTTAGGGCCTTATCATACTAGCGGATTGAGAGCGGCTGCGGGGCGGGACGGACGCGCAGCGATTTATCGACGTACAATACACTCAGTTACAAAATGGATTTTCAACAATACTAAAAATTTGTTCGTGAGACATGTCAAGCTATTAAAAACTTGTTTCATATTTGTATGCCACCCAAGAAAACAGAAGACTGGGAAAACATTAGCAATCGCTTTCTTTAAAATGCTGATTTTCCTAATTGCATAGGTGCAGTGCAAACATATTAGGATGATGAAGCCGTGTCATAGCGGCGCTCTATATTTTAAATACAAAAAGTATTTCTCGCGCGTCCGCAACGAATTCGCTGCGCGTCCGTCCTGCCCCGCAGCCGCTCTCAATCCGCTAGTATGATAAGGCCCTTAGGGTAATTGTTAGTTACAATTATTTAACGTTTTTTTCTGGTTTAGCAATGATCGATTGCGTTCTGACCCCGACCGCTGTGTGATGATTATCAGACCCTGAATGCAATGACTATTCCAGTTTTGGTGCTCCTGTAGCTATCGCTCTTACTGGAGGGACCTCTCGGTGGTCACAGGATTGAGGATCATACTCGTGAACGGGTGCTACTATAAAAAAGAGTGTGGAAGAGTTTATTGCCAGTTATTCTCTTCCGTTCTAGCCCTTGATTTGAGAACTGGCAGTAAATGTAAAATTAGAAGCATTTAATGTATATTTCTTTTTTGACGTACATAAGTGTACATTGTGCTACCTACATGAATAAATGATTTTGACTTTGACTTTGTAGGGGGTTGTCTCTAGGTATTCGTAGACGTATCTCGTTATCAGGGGTAAATAATAAGACAATCCTCCTTAAGAGAGTCAGAACAAACTTCTACAATGTCCGGCAACGCATAGCAAGCAGTAATAACCAATCACATCCTGTATTCAATGCATAGAACAACCCGTTCAAAGAAATTACCAGTGAAACAAAAAGATATATGTTCTTTTAAAAATTTGTGATGACACCTGCTGGTAAGTAGATAGTTGTGCCCCATTGACCACCATCGCTCTGGTGACAGTCGCGGTCATTCCACGCATGAGAGCACTGCTTCCTTCTTCGCGACATATCCTGAAAATAACTGAAAGTAGAAAACTTGACTGGCGTTTAACCGCACCCTAGACGAACCTATACGCTGTTATGTCTTTTGCTGTTATTTATTTACACTTCGTTACCATAATCTACAAAATTATACATATAAAAAAATCAGGTTACATAAGTTATTAGGCAACGGGCGGCCTTATCGCTAACAAGCGATTTCTTCCAGGCAACACAAATATGGAACAATAAAAAAAGAATCACCTACAGAGGGTAAAGTAAAAGAAGTGTTTAATTAATTAACAAAAAAAAACTTTAAAACATGTAACTATAACTAAAATTAAATAAAGTATTTAAAGAAAATATATAAATAATAATATGTATAAACAAAAATGTTAAAGCTAATCCAAACATTAATTGAGCTGTTGTACGTGAGTTTCAAAAGAAAAATTTATTTAAAACTGTAGAAATTACGGATTTCAGAAATTTCAGCCTTTCTTTGTTGTTTGACATAGTTTTGCCAAGTATTTATACGCTTCTGGCAACTCGAATCAAGTTGAATTGGTTCGGAAATACATTTGTCGGCAGCTGGTTCCACATAGTAGTGGAGCGCGGCAAAAACTGCCTTAAAAAACCCTCAGCTAATACGAATTTCTTATTCTACCTCGATGTCCGATAATAAAACTCAGCTGCAGGTATTAATCCGAACAACTCTGAACACTCTTGGTAAATGCGAGACTCGAATCGTCAACGACCAGTCTCTATATAAGTTATATCATTACAAGAAAACTGCAGAACTCTTGAGGAGACTAAGGGGTTTAAATGCCACTGGACTACTAAGGACCTCAACTTAATAATGTCTGGTTCAAACGTATAAATACCTGGCCAAAGCATCTATGACGTGTTTATAATTCCTTCGTTTATCTGGCGGCAGTCTTCCGTCAGCCGTCATTCTGATGAGAGCAATTTCTGCTGGATTTCCAATCAGCGCGCCCACGCCACCCGCGAAGCTTCCCAATCCAATTTTAGCCGCGAGATTTGGTGTGCCAAAGTTTCTGTATAAACGTAAAAGGTACACAAAAAAAAAGAAAAATCTTGTTTAATAATATATCACAAAATTAAAACAACGTTACAGAAATGATGAACAGTTTTTTTTGGCAGTTGTTATAAAAAAAAGTGCGTGTGTACAAAGTGCACATGTCAGATGTGAAACTTCTTTGTATATTAATTATTACTAAAGCCCCAATGATCATGTACCAATATATGATCAATTCATGTATTTGTATATCTATATTCACACTGTTTCTACACGGTATGTATGCGACAGAATTGCCATCTAAAGTTCTAATATGTAACTACTAAACGAATACACCAACCAATAGCGTGTATTTTCTCTCTCTCAACCTTTCTCACTATAGCTCTCTCCCACATCTCGCTCCATGGCACTGTGCGTGATGCGTTGTTCGCTTTATATCACTCTCTCTCTCGATCTTTCTCACTTGCTTGCTCCCTACTCTCGCTCCATGGCTATTTACTTCATGCTACGTTCGCCCTTTCTCACTCTCTCTCAATCGGTCTCTCCCTTTTCTTCGACAAAAATGCAGCACATCTTCGTAACGATAATATTATTATTATTGCGTGTCATCCGTAAAAATTTTACCCTCATGCGCCTAAAGAAGTTTCACTCAAAAATCAGTCGCGCTACAATCTTTTTGTCTGGGCCTCAGATCTCAGTATCTAGTAGGATGACTCTTGTATGTCAGATACAATACGACTTTGACATGAGTGTGCGACTCTCATCCCTAATATCGTAGGTTTTTTTTTTTATTTTATTTTATTTTTTTATTTTTTTCAATTTAGATGCTTCTTAGAGCATGCTTATGAATGTCAACAACGTTTACAAAATTCACGAAAGAGCAAGACTACGCCATCCGTTCGCAAAACTACCAGGAGGCCTTGTTCTGAGAAGAACGGGCAAGAAACTCAGCAAGTTTGCCCTCCCTTTACATTACAATTATTCAAAGGAAAATGTCATAAACCACAACGTCATTAAAATTACATAAGTAAAAAAAAAAAAAAATCTGTTCTGTGATTTACCACATTCACCATTACACACATATTCATAACACTTCAAAGATAACAAATCAAATTTTATATAAGAATATAATTAGAACTATTGCCAAGCGTTTTTATCTTCCAGGTAGTCATTGACTGTGTAGTAACCTTTACACATTAAGGTTTTTTAGATGTGTGTTTTGAATCTGTTTAAAGGCAGTTCCAATATTTCACTAGGAATCTTGTTATAGCAGCGTATACTTAGGCCCATAAATGAAGTATTTATTTTCTGCAACCTGTAAGACGGCTGGAAAAGTTTTCCCTTATTTCTTGTATTCCTATTGTGAATGTCGCTGTTCTTTAAAAGAGAACTAATATTACTACGCACAAAAACGATACAGTTGTAAATATATTGGGAAGGTACCGTCAAAATATCGATTTCCTTGAACAAATTTCTAAGTGAAGTGCCTGGTTTCAAGCAATAAATTGACCTAATAGCACGTTTTTGCAAGATAAAAATAGATTGTATATCTGCTGCTTTGCCCCATAAAAGAATTCCATACGACATAACGCTGTGAAAGTAACTAAAATATACTATTCTGGCAGTTTCCTCGTCTGTGAGTTGCCTAATTTTCCTAATAGCGTATGCCGCAGAACTAAGCTTGTCAGAAAGTTTAGTGATATGCTGACTCCATTGAAGTTTTTGGTCTATTGTAATGCCCAGAAATACCGTAGAATCAACTAAATTTAGTTTTTCATTGTTCAGTTTAAGCTCTATAGTTGTAGTTTTAACATTAGGTAAAGTAAATCTTATACATTTTGTTTTTGTGGCATTTAACTGTAAATTATTTGCAGAAAACCAGCACACTATTTTAAAAAGTGCATTGTTCACATCGTCAAAATTTGTCTTATATCTATTTACTTTAAAAATCAAGGACGTGTCATCAGCAAACAATACAATATCACATAATGGCTTTGAATAAGAAGGCAAATCGTTAATATATATAAGAAATAAAAATGGTCCTAATATTGATCCTTGAGGGACTCCCATTTTAATATGTGATCCCGAAGATTTAGTTCCATTTATATCAACTTTATGAGTTCGACAACTTAGGTAAGAGGTTATTAAGTTAAGAGCTACATTTTTTATACCATAGTGGTCAAGTTTGCAAAGCAGAGTCTCATGATCAACACAATCAAACGCCTTGGACAAATCGCAGAAAACTCCCAGTACATTTTGAGTTTTCTCCCATGCATCAAATATATGTCGTAACAGAGCTATTCCAGCATCGGTAGTGGAGCGACCTTTAGTAAAACCGTATTGTGCGTTGTGTAGAAGACTGTTTGTATTAAAGAATGTAATTAATTGTTCTAGTATAATTTTTTCAAAAACTTTACTTAAAGTTGGCAATATTGAGATGGGTCTAAAATTAGTAGGATCTGTCCTGCATCCAGATTTAAATAAAGGTATTATTTTACTATGCTTCATTAAATCTGGAAAACTTCCTTCATCAATACAATTGTTAAAAATATACGCAAGATCTGGGGCAATAATATCTATAATGTCCTTAATAATACGTACAGAAACATCCCACAAGTCTCCAGAATGTTTTAATTTTAAAGATTCAAAAGTTTTAACTACATCACCAGCGCTAACGTGCTTAAACTGAAAATTTATTTTGCATTCCGGTACGTGACTTTTAAGAAAACTAATAGCCTCTTTGGAAGAGGAATTAAGAGAAGATGTAGTAATTACAGGTATGTTTGTAAAGAAATCTTCAAAAATATCAGCAATCTCTGAGCTTTCAACAATAATCTTATCATCTACCTTTAAAAAGAATGAATTATTACGGGATTTAAGGTTTCCTGTTTCTCGATTTATAACATTCCAAGTAGTTTTGATTTTATTACTTGAATTCTTAATTTTCTCACGTATATGCAATGCCTTTGTATATTTGCAAACTTTTCTAAAAGTTTTGGAATAATTTCTGACATATTCCATAAACACTGCGTTGTGATTATATTTTCTTAATGCATATAATTCATAAAGCCTATTCCTACTTTTGAAAATACCTCTCGTGGCCCAGTCATCAAACTTGATTTTTTTTTTGTTGCACTTTACAGTCTTTAATTGGTAAATACTATCAAACTCATTTTGAATAACATTAAACAATCTTTTGTATTGACTCTCCGAATTATTTAGAACAGAGTAATCTATTGCACAAACCTTAGAATTAATATTTTGCCTAAAACTTTCGATGCGACTTTTTGTGATGGGGCGATACTTAACGTGCTTGGCTTCATCAAAAATTTTGTCAGAGAAGCCAACTATCAGACCACAATGGTCAGAAGTAAGGTTTGTAATTACTGATTTAGAAATAGGTTTGTCACTCGAAAATATGTTATCTAAACAAGTTGCTGAATGGGAGGTGATTCTTGTTGGTTCAGAGAATTGGTTTACTAAATTGAAACATTTAAACATTGAAATAAATCTAGTGCTTACTGAATTACTTTCAAGTATGTTTATGTTAAAATCTCCGCAAATAATGACCGACTTTCGTTTTCTAGTCAGTCTTTTAAGTACATCTTCCATTACTGACTCGAATTTGTAATAATCTCCGGAAGGGGGCCGGTACACGCATACTATAACATAGTTCTCCAGTTCTACACAAGATAATTCAATAACACATTCAATTGATAGACTTACAATATCCTTACGATCTTTCGATTTGACAGTACTTTTTATTAATATTAATGATCCGCCACGAATAGAACTACTTCTCATGAATACACTACACAATTGGAAGTTGTCAATAACAATCGTTTCATAACTTCTTAGCCAATGTTCTGTAATACAAATAACTTCAATTTCGCGACTTTTTGTAAACAGTTCTAATTCTAATTCCTTGCCAGCCAAACCTTGTAGATTTTGATAAACAATATTTAATAGTGCTGGCTTGGCTTTTGTCTTAGGTGCTAGTTTAAATTTGTAAAATGTAAATTTTTCGTGACAATTTTACTACATGTCACCGTAGTAGTTTCTTTAAAATTATATGCTAATAACTTAGCAATTTCTTTTTTTATTTTATATGAAAGATACAATGTATCTTTGGTCAGAGTAAATTTAGTAACAAACCTGTTAAAATCAAAATAAAAAAATACGTCACTATGACGACATGTCAAATGGTGAATAAATTGATTTAAAACATAAATCTGTTGATTAAATTTATAATCCATATTGCTTGCATATGGAAAAGAACAAAGTGTTATTTTACATTTTTTTTCTTTACCAAACTCTAAAAGTTTAGTAATTGTTTTAGTAATGTGGGTTTTTTTTATCCCCATACTGTCACCACACAATAATATTAATTTAGAGCTACTATCTACAGACTGATAATTTAATATTTTATCTACAATACCTTGGTAAGATATTCCAGGTAAACAAATATTAAGTACATTTTGAGATAACTCATCTCCTAGTAACTGCCCCAGCCCTTGCCCCAACCTATCTGAAAAGATGTAGGTAGGTTCGATCCCCAGCTGTGCACCAATGTACTTTCTTTCTTTGAACTCATTTAACCTTCGCTCAAAACTGAAGGAAAACATCGTGAGGAAACCGGCTTGCCTTAGACCCAATAAGTTGTCGGCGTGTATCAGGCACAGGAGGCTGATCACCTACTTGCCTATTCGATTGACAAATGAGCATGAAACAGATACAGAAATCTGAGGCCCAGACTTAAAAAGAACTTCTAATGCTTGCTATTGTTTTAGCTACATTTATCGACGCATATATTTAAAAAAACATGGTTTAAATATTCTTACGATTGATAATAATCAAAGACTGCATTGAAACATCCAAGTCGGCCAGTCGTATAAGTGGCTTGACGGAACAGCGCCGCACTGAGGCCATTGTAGAAGCCAAAAACACCTTCACTTTTCATGATACCACCTACAACTTCACCAATGGAGCCTTTGGGGCCAGCCAGCTGCATCCTGGTTTTGATAAGATCCATAGGTTGTACCACACATATTGCGAACATTCTGTAAATTTTATTCTATGATCACTTTATGGACAAATATTACCCTGTATCACCTCGACATCCACAACTAAGCGTTATTAAAAGGGAGAGCCACGCACCACCACTATGTGGAACCAGCGGCCCGATGAAGTATTACCGAACCACTTCGACTTAGGGTCCTTCAAGAAAAGAGCGTACCAATTCTTAAAACGAAGAGTTCAAAGATGGTGCACTAATTACACTTTCCGAAATCCTATTTCAGTCAGCCACTACTGGGTTTGCAAGAAACGGAATAAGTTTATAATAATAATAATAATATGTCAATATGCGAATATATATGATCCTAATCCTCACATCACCTCAATCACAGAACGCCGCCCGCGCCCCCATACACACGCGTATGGTTCAATAATTTATTATTAATTACTCAAAAGATTGTCAGATGCCAGGAGCATTCGAAGAATACTAAATACTCACCCACTCAATCCACCAATAACGAAGTTCGCCCATCCTGGCAAAGTCTTAGGAGCTGGGGGCTTTTTATCTGCCATTTTCAAGTATTTACCTATTTTTGTTGTTTTTATCAAAGTTTTTAAATTTCAAAGTAATCCATTTTATTTGGTTTCAGTTTAGTTTGTGACATTGGCATTTCTTTTTATAAATGATGACATTGTCTTTATAGGTTTTGCTATTCAAGCTTTTTCTTTTTACGGGATTTCATTTCAGAGAACAATGTCAATTCCACGCTTGTATAGTCTATACTATACCGTTGATAAAAAAACAAGGCAAAATAACCCATTGTGGGGTTGCGAGATGTGAGACAATAATTATTATATTTGTGGCGACACCTATTAAGTGGCTACAATCAGCATGACGTTATATCCTGATACGGGCCAAACGTCATTCCAACCGCTTACTAAATGTACAATATTTCTACCTCAGAAAATAAGCCCTTCAGACCTGTCAGTGGTTAGAAAAATTCCACGAAATCTAGTTTTTAATCCGCCCAAAAATATATATTTATCTATTTCTTATAGTAGTTTTAGTAACAACTATTCTTATATACTTTTACACACAAATCTTTCAAGACGTCTTTACTTACACTGTAAATTTTTATTATTATTATTATATTCTTTTTACCTTTTTTTTGTGATTGAGGCTAACTGTTGTGGTCTCTGACAGAATGGCCAACGCTGTGAAACACGTCTGCTCCACAGCATAATGTCTGTGTTTCGTTAGTAGCAAGTATTATGTTTTGTTAATAATAACATAGGTTTACAATAAATTACCAAAAGAATTAAAAGATCTTCGACTAGAGTCTTTAAAAATCGACTTAGTGTATTACTTTTGGAAAAAATTTACTATTCATTAAATGATTATTTGCGTGAGACACTGTATTTGATATAAATTTAATAAAGTATTATTAGGAAACACAAAAGATTAGAACGTGTAGGTACTTTAGACTTTTAAAATCTACCGAGGTTAGGTTAGTAACAAGCCCGTTCGCACGAAGTCTAGAAATAAAAGTGAGTCAACGCCGGTGTTGCCACGCTTTATATAGGTTTCTGCTACAAAATGGCGTTAGTCCGCTAACACGGCCTCTCCTGACACCCTGACGTCCTCGTCAGGATTTGATGTCCAGCGTCTATACTGTCATCTCTGTGGGTTGAATAGAACGTTAGAACATTACAATTCTGGGAAGGTATTGCGTCGTCTATTTGGTCAGCAACTGAACATATTTACTTGGTTTAATACAAACAATCAAAGTAATGAAAGATAGAAAGGAACTTTAAAGTATCAGACTCCAAGGAATGAGTGAAAGATTATTCATAACCCTTACAAGATTTGAAACAAACTATCACTTTCATGTGTAAAGGACTTGTGTAAACAATCACAAGTTTAGTATCACCATAAGAGTAGATATAAGGTATAAAGGTCTACTTATTTCTCAAGAAGATCGTGAGTTTGGGGCTGGTTACCCTGTCCATTGATCTTTTTACCATTCATAAAGGAAGATCGTGAGTTTGAGGCTGGTTACCCTGTCCATTGATCTTTTTACCATTCATACAGGAAGATCGTGAGTTTGGGGCTAGTTACCCTGTCCATTGATCTTTTTACCATTAATACAGGAAGATCTTAAGTTTGGGGCTGGTTACCCTGTCCATTGATCTTGTTACCATTTATACAGGAAGATCGTGAGTTTGGGGCTGGTTACCCTGTCCATTGATCTTGTTACCATTTATACAGGAAGATCGTGAGTTTGGGGCTGGTTACCCTGTCCATTGATCTTTTTACAATTTATACAGGAAGATCGTGAGTTTGGGGCTGGTTACCCTGTCCATTGATCTTTTTACAATTTATACAGGAAGATCGTGAGTTTGGGACTGGTTACCCTGTCCATTGATCTTTTACAATTTATACAGGAAGATCGTGAGTTTGGGACTGGTTACCCTGTCCATTGATCTTTTACAATTTATACAGGAAGATCGTGAGTTTGGGACTGGTTACCCTGTCCATTGATCTTTCAAAAAGCAAATATTACAGAATTAGATAGCTTCAGACTTAACATAAATAAAGACAACTCAGTATTTGCAATACACCGTCGTATCGACAGTGGCTCCTAGTGCTCTCATAAGCGACAATTTTAAAACAGAGACTCATACATTTTGCATGTTCTCTAAGTGGTCTAAACACATTAGCACCAGAATAACTTAAAACAGAGACCCATACACTTGTATGTTCTCAAAGTGGTCTAAACACATTAGCACCACAAAAATTTAAAACAGAAACCCATACCTTTGCATGTTCTTAATAACAAAGACCAGATCATCCTTCTGGAATTTACAAAGGGGGTCTACGACCCACATTAACGACAGTGTCCTGATTGATTTGACTGTTCTTCAACCGTTCGGCCGTCCTCTGTCAAAGCATCTCTCGTCTACCTTGCTGACTAGACGATCCCGAATTTAATGTGACACTGTTGCACTCACAAACACAAACAACATTTTAACACAAAGAGCACTTTTAAAATGTTAATCACTTGTGACTTCGTACATTACGGACACAAAGAGAAGGAAAATTTAAACCACAAAGATTACTCAAAACAAAACAAAAGAGAAGTGAGCGAAAAGTTCAAATCCCACTTCTGATATTAGGAAACACAAAAGATTAGAACGTGTAGGTACTTTAGACTTTTAAAATCTACCGAGGTTAGGTTAGTAACAAGCCCGTTCGCACGAAGTCTAGAAATAAAAGTGAGTCAACGCCGGTGTTGCCACGCTTTATATAGGTTTCTGCTACAAAATGGCGTTAGTCCGCTAACAGTATGATATGTACGATACAAATAATATAAGAATTGACTTTGACAAATAATGTAAAATTACTTAATTACTACTACTACTTAATTGTAAAATTAGAGGGTGAGCGCCAAGTCTTTTTTTTATGTAACAGGAGGCAAACGGGCAGAAGGCTCGTCTGAGGTTAAGTGATACCGCCAACACTCACATAGTCCGAAGGCCTGCAAATGCGTTGCCTTTTAAGAATTGGTACGCTCTTTTCTTGAAGGGTTTTTGTTGGTTTCGGTTCGGAAACACTTTACTGGACATAGTTGCCGCATAGTTGTGGTGCGTGGCAACAATGCGTTAGAAACGTTGTGATACGGATGGTATTTTGTATTCTGCCTTGACGTCCGATGATAAAACTCGGCTGCAGGTGTTAGTGTAGTGTCTTAAAAAGAGTGGCGGAGAGTTTATTCTTCTGTTCTGTTCTACGCCCTTGATTTGAGAACTGGCAGTAGGTACTAAATGTTAAATTAGAAGCATTTAATGTAGGTATATTTCTTTTTTGACGTTCATAAGTGTACATTGTGTTACCTATACGAATAATTTTTGACTTTTGGCTATTGACTTTTAGTCCGAACAACTCCTCTGAACATTCTCCACAGTAAATGTGGAGAAGATACAGAGAGACCCCACATATCTACGCAACGCCAAGAGATTAAGTCGCTGGGTTGGCGACTCCCATACATAAAAAATGTATTGTATTTTCATACACATGAGTGATGGTTCGCGCTAAGTTTTCTTTCTGAATATTATTTTTAATTTCAAATGCCAATAACTTAGCCGTTCTTTAGACAAAAATTGGGTCACTTTAATTGTTAAACTAATATCAAAATAATTAAAGCAGATAGCGCAGAGCCAACCCAACTATAATACAAAACGTAAAATGAAAAAAAAAATATATATATATGAAATCTAAGGCGCCCCAACGATAACGTCTAATCAAAACGAACTATTTAAAGCATCCCAGTGAAAACATCTAAAAGTACACACCAGTAAGACTGAAAAAAATCATTCATTTCGTTCGATTTCTTGTTACGATATTTTAAAATATGCTGATTACCCTGTAAATGAATGAGACCGAGGGGATCAAGTATCGCTGACCCTAGGCCCTGACGACATTCACGAAGCTGGAGATCATCGGAGACAAAAGCAATGGTGTAATCTGCCTGGACAGGTTCGGTAACATCACGAAGCTAAGCAATGAATGCCTCAACAGACCCTCGGAGGACTTCTTCCATTTTGTATTTTTTAACAAATACTTGGAGATCAAGAAGCCAAGGGTTTCTTTCCAGTCCCTCTCTTCTTCTCCACATTAGTTTGTGAAATAGCATTAAATGTACAATCAGTTACAGCTGTTAACGAAGATGCTAGTTGCATGAATAAGAGTGTAAATTTTAGAAAGTATGAATTAATTTCAAATTCCCAGCTGGTTCTAAAATAAAAGAAAATAAAACTCTTATTTTTTATTTATACATTATTTATACACTTAAATTATTGTCCTATGGCGTAATAATATAAATTATTAAATGCAGTTATTTTGTAAATTGGTTTTGGGAAAAATATCCGACAATAAATATATATTTTTTTTTAATATTGATTTAGTGACCAGTAATAACTCGGTTTATTTTTGCCCGTTCTAATTTAAATCTTGTTTATTACAATAAACTTGAGAAATCGGATACATTCACAAATTATAACTTAATTAACAAAGAAATATTGACTTTTTAAAATTCAGTTTTAGGTGCTTTCTTGACGTAGGCCTGGACTTTGGGCTGAGAGTACACCGCGTCAACCACTTGTTGGAAGCTTGGGTATTTCTTTTCGAGGTCTGGATTTTGGAGCATTACCTTTAAGTAGTCGAACATTCCAGCGAACACGAAGTCTGCCCAGGTGAGCTGAAAAATAACAGAAATTAAACACAGTTAAGACTGATTAGGCTAAATGGCGAATGTCAACAGAGATATAAGGAAAAACGAAATGTTCTTTAATTCGATTCCATAAAAAAACGAGCGCGGTATTTCCCTGTATATATTACGATGCGATTTTATTCTTATATGTATTTGTTAACTCAAAAACTTTTAAACTAATTAAAAAAATTATAATACAATTTTTAAAAAATCCGAAAGAATGTCATATAATCTACACGCTATTAATTTTGTATATACATAATCATATCATAGTATAGCTTTAGTTATCATTGCCAGTCATTACTTATCTTTGTTTTATGGGGTATTTTACACGGGTCGATTTTCGCCGTGCGGCGAGTCGCTTCACAAATTGCCTCACCAAGCCGCATCGCTAGCCCATTTACACAGGTTACTAAAATCGCATGCGGCTCGGTCATTTCCATCGAAAATGTTGAGCAGAATAGCCGTTTGTGCCGGAATTGAAATAATTAATTATTCAATTATTCAACAATTGCTTAAAGAACAAAGAGAGAAGAAAAAACAAAAGGAAAGAAGAAAACGTAATGTTTGGGTACGAGGATACTTTATTGGTTGAGTGGAGTGTAGAAGATCCTGATTATTTTAAAAAACGATTAAGAATGACTACTGATCATTTTAATACTTTACTACATAAGGTTACTCCGCTTATACAAAAATGCAATACCAATATGCGAGAAGCACTTTCTCCGAAAATTAAATTAGAAATAACCCTGAAGTTCTTGGCTACCGGTGATAACTACTCTAAAACTAATTTTTTAATCGCTCAGACAGCGAACCACGTCATAAAACTGTTGTTGGAATTATGTAATTTTTTGAAATTACCTATTTTTTAGTTACATATGCAAAAGCTTTTTCATGATATTCGAATTAACATAGCAACTACGACCGAGTCATTACTAACTCTAATTAAAACTAAATACTAATAATGTTCACAGGTAAGCATTTTTAATAATTATTTATTAATATATGTTTTATTCCCTTTTAATTGTTCGACTATCGACTTAGTCTGCCCCAGTAATATGGATAAATTAATACCTTGCCAGCAGCAATGTGTCCGTTGTTCTTCTTGATGATCTCGTCCAGTTTCTCAAGCAACTCCGGGTAGACGTTTTTACTAAATTCCGCGTGATTTTTCGCCTTCAACTCGGCATCGGTTTCGTATTCGACGCTAGCGGCCTCTGTAATTTATCATAATATCTTTATTGGACCCCTATGGCTAAAATTAGACTCCGCGCCACCACGCTGTCTACATACAGCAAATGTTGCCAACACATTTACCTTCGATTACTAAAATTTCGAGTAATGGAAAGGATCAAGGGACAGAAGAAGAGGGCGCCCCAAAAAAAGGTGGATAGATGAAATAGAAGCGGTAGCAGGAAGCGAATGGAGAAAGGAAGCCATAGACTGAGTCAGTCGGAAAAAGCTGGAGGAGGCTTTTACCCGTGAGGGGGGATCATAAAAAATACATATAAATCAAATCTAAACTGAAGTTATACTTCTTTTGGTGCGTTAGGGAAAAATGATGAGAGTGAATTTTTACCATGCGCGCGCACACCGACACAAAAAACCGACACCCTGAATATCTGTTAAAACGGCGGTAAAACAGTCTCGGCCGCTAGTTGCGCTTGCTTTATTTTACAAGTTGCATTGTCTGTCATGGCGTAGTGTTTTTCAGAGACGTGTTTATTTAAACCAAAATAATGATTTCTATACGAGAAAACCCGTTCCAATCTGATAAAAAACATAGTGTTTATTGTAAAATATCATGATTAGTACATATTATATCGTTTCGATTGGAAGTGACCATTAAAATGGACAAGAAAAATGCAATTAGAGGAGGGAAACGTCCCTCTTGTGCTCGAAGAAAATTATTATGCCAAAGAAGTAAAACGTCTAACGCGTGTATAAGTACACGCATGTTATTTTTGCAATAATTTGAAATTAAACGGGCTTTTATTATTATTTTCGAATTTCGGTTTACTAGAAATTAAAATTTGCGTTCTCGAGTAAATCGAGTCTGATAAATAATAATTCTCTCATGTATTTATATTATGTAGTGTTTATAAATAATAGTAAACTCTATGTAGTACGAAATAGCTGTTATTTAGATCTTGAAGTATTATGGAAGAGTATTTATCACATTCGCTCGAACAGTGAAGGAAAACATCGGCGTGCCTTACTAGAATTAGATTTGTCATTTGGGTGTAGGAAATTTCCAAAAACCCCAATCCATTCCGCCACTTGGGTGGGTTAAAGCTCGGAGGCGTCATCGATGTCGAATATCGTCGCTGTAGAATGATAACCTTGTATGTTCAGAGGACCAAACATTGCAGGAAACGAAAAAAATGTTTAATTTCGTCAATGTTCATTCACATATTATTATGTGTTTTTGTCCATAGTTTTAGATGGTAAAAAGGACTTATTTATTAATACCATAAATAAGTCCTTACTTCATGATTATACCAGTTAAATGACATAAGAGTCTAAGAATAAAAAATAAATGGTTTTTTGACATAAGAGGTTGTCTACAGTGACGATATGACAATTAATATTACTTACTCGCACGGATATCATTAACGAAGTCGACATTCTGGTCGATCTCCAAATCCTCTTCAGCGTCAGCTCCGGAGAGGCCGTACTTGCGGCCCAGGTACCGGGAGAGGGCAAAGCTCTGTGCGTAAGCCTTACCATCGATCTCTAGTACCGGCATCTGACCAAAAGGTGTCGCTGTAAAAAATAATTTGTTTAACATCTAGTAGGTTTTTTACTCTGCATTCTTCATTTCATAATTATAAAACAGGATATTGAATTCGAATTAATTAATGATTCAAGAAACCAACATGGGGTAGAGTGGCCATAGAAAGGCCAGAATGGAGAAGATTGGAGAAGGCCTTTGCCACCTGGCAAACGGACACGCAAAAGTGGAACAAAAGAACAATCTACGAAAAATAAAGAAAACATACTGTCATATCCGAAAAGAGGCTATAATATAATATATAATGAATTAAGAAACCCTCTGTGTTAGATTGATTTTGGGAAGTTGCCATATTATTAACTATTTTTTGCAATAGAAATATTATCCGCTGCCATGTTCAATTGGTTTGGCCTAAAGGTCTAGATATCAGGCCATAAACTCCAAAAAAAAAATTGGTCAATTGGTGGCGCACGATTGGGATAGAACCGTTTGTCGGGCGGCTGACGTTATAAAAGCCGCCGCAACTTCAAACGGCCTAGCCCTTCCTCCCCCGACATATATATATTTTATAAACCAAGAACAAATTAAAAGGCAAAGTCAGCTCAGCGTAAAAACCACCTTCACCGGGGAAGGCGGCTTTTGAATTGTTAGGTAAAAGCGCGGATCAAAATGCACCCATATAACACATCGGTGCGGTGCGTAATTAATATTAGTACAAATTATTCACATTTTTATATGTAAAATATGCTTTTGGATACACCAAATAATTATATTATTATTCAGTGCAAACGCAACACGCAATCTACAAAATGATATTTGGTTGTTATCGCCTGATTAGATTTACTGTAGCTGGCAATTAATCAATTACCATGACAACGTTTTTGAAGCGTAGGACAACATTTGGTATGTCGAAAACATATTGGATTTGAAGTAACTTAACTAATATAAGCGCTAACGCCCGAACCTAATAATTAATCCACAATCTCAGATTGTTTTCAATCAGACCGTGACAGTCGATCAATCTCCTATCTGCATCCCAATTACCAAACCCTACGAAGACAATCCATTTTTGGCGACGGATAAAATTCTCTTTATCGTTCCACTTTACCGAGTTCACACTCATATTTGATAATCAATGTAAACCAAATAAAGTAAATAAAACCGTACAAATAACAATAAAATATACATGTGTATGTTTAAAACATAAAAAACAGTTTTTTTTAATTATTTAAACAACTGGTGTAAGTTAAAATCTGTTAAAATAATTAACTGTTGGAATCGAGCTTTCGTGAACTGTCATTCTCATACAAAGGTCTATCCACAGACACCGATCCGACCTCCCATGGATAGCTTGTATCCACAGATGGCTATTACAATCCGGGGATTGGTTATTGGCACACTTGTTACAACACTTGGATTAAGATTTCTACTTCAGATGGTCAAATAGATATAGATTAAGATAGGTTATTGGGTTCGGGCGTCAGTCGCCACTCCGAATGTTACCCTTAGACATTGTATATAAATAAGAAAATAAATCAACAATACCACTTGATCAAACATTAATCGTATGTCACTGTGACTTATCCAAAATACCGCAACGAGTAGCGCACTTAAGGGATCCCACACAAAACTGCGATGCGATGCGATGCGAATTCGCATCGCAGGAACTTGCGATGCGAATTTTTGCGATACGATTTAGTGCGTCAAACCGTTTGGTAGGGCGACCATTCCTTCGAAGCCAGCCGTACTGAACGTGTTTTTAAGAAGCGTAAGATGGATCGCAAAAAGATTATTGCACTGCTGTTATTGTTAAATAGATATAAAAGAAAAAGAAGATTCTGGGTTCATTCATTCTTCATTGGTTCTCTGATGGGAACTATTTTATTCAAAAGTACTATGCGTTGAGAACTGAAGATAAATTTTTTGATTATTTTAGAATGAGCATATCTTCATTTGAAGAGCTTTTGAGTATATTATCACCATGCCTTCAAAAACGATCGTACAAGGGAAGAATTCCTGTTATGCCTTTGGAAATGCTGGGACTGACTATCAGGTAAAGTAAAACAAAATGTATTTATTGACATTTTAATTGTTTGTCTCAGAGCGGACTAAAATGGTGTCACCAAGGATGACGTAAAATCGCAGGAATGTGCGATGCGAAGCAGATCGGAAATTCTTGCGTTGCGTTCGTGCGAATTCGCAGATATTTGCGATGCGATGCGAATTCGCAGTTTTGTGTGGGAGCCCTTACCTTACGTTTAGGACTCCCACACAAAACTGCGATGCGATGCGAATTTCTGCGATACGATTTAGTGCGACGAACCGTTTGGTAGGGCGACCATTCCTTCGTAGTCAGCCGTACTGGACGTTTTTAGGACGCGTAAGATGGATCGCAAAAAGATAATTGCACTTCTGTTATTGTTAAATAGATATAAAAGAAAAAGAAGATTCTAGGTTCATCCATTTATGAACTCTGATGCAAACTTTCACAGACGCTCTTCCACGCATCTTGCTTAGTAAATTTATTTTTATAATGTTCATCACTTGTGTCCCAAAGGACGGGACGCTCCTCAATTAAAAATATTAAAAAATTTTATAAATAAAGAAGGCGGCGGAGGCGCCGCGCGTCTTTCTCTAAAGCTGTCTCAGAGCGGACTAAAATGGTGTCACACAGGATGACGTAATATCGGTGCGTTCGTGCGAATTCGCAAATATTTGCGATGCGATGCGAATTCGCAGTTTTGTGTGGGAGCCCTTAACGCAAAGAAGAGAGCAGCATGACTCCATACAATTTTTAATACCCTCAAAGTTATATAAAACATCAGTGGTGCTACAACCCTAATTGTTGCACGGCCTCAGATATCTGAATCTGTTTCATGATTTGTCAATCTATAGGCAAGTAGATGATCAGGTTGTACCTAACACACGCCGTCGACTTTTTGGGTCTAAGGCAAGCCGGTTTCCTCACGATGTTTTCCATCACAGTTCGACCGAATGTTAAAAGCGCACATAGAAAGAAAGTCCGTTGGTGCACAGCCAGGGATCGAACCTACGACCTCACGAATGAGTCGCACGCTAAAGCCACTAGACCAACACTGCTCAGTATATACTGTTTTTTATCAATATTACTAACCTTTATCGAAACGAGTGTTTAACAGGTGGATGGCAAAACATGTTATCACTTATCAATTCAGATTGTTAAACCTAGTTAACATGTGGATAACACAAGTACTATATGTAGATGACTTTCATTTTTAGACGGTAATTACCACAGCACTTGGATATATACTTTTATCGATATACAAGACAGCTATATAATTAATTTGATTCAAATTTGTTCCACTGCATAACAAACAGGTGTTCTGTGTATTATCTGACTATTAACATTCATCTTTATAAGCCATTGATAATAATCAATGTCTCGTGTGGAGTGAATTGGGTCTTGTTATAGCGATATCAAAGTCAAGTGAAGTCAAAAATTATTTATTCATATATGTAACACAATGTTCACTTATGAACGTCAAAAAAGGAATATACATTAAATGCTTCTAATTTCACATTTACTTCCAGTTTTCAAATCAAGGGCGTAGAACGGAAGAGAAGAACTGGAAATAAACTATCCGCCACTCTTTTGTTTTACACAACATTTGTAAGGAGCTGCAGCCGTTACACCATGTTCCACATGACATCTTAAGTTAATAAATAATAATAAAATAAATTAAAAACAAAGAGTTGTCCTCTTTCACCAGGAAATAGGAGCACGCACTTACATTCTCGTGGGAACAACACGCAAATACATAGTCGAAATAACTAACATCACCGCATACACGAATTGAATTACGACCAGTCACCACAAGTAGCACGGGCTGGCCATGCGTCATACGTTCACGAGTATGACGCATGGCCAGCCATCGGTCTCCTCACCATTTTTTAGGGAGAGAACCCGACGCATGGACGCCTATAAATTGTATCAAATAATATCTAAGTTTCCGAGTTGGTTAGCTTGGTTAGCTTAGCACTAAGTGTAGTTACTAAGATCGTGGCCTTAAAATGTAGATGGACAAGACCTATTGGACCCGAAGGCTCGAGGAATGAAGAACTTGCCATAAAAAAACACCAACTGGCCGCCCGATGCCGGTCGATTTGAAGGAGAATGGAGGACCGCTATGTCTAAAGAATGGTTTATAATGATGATGACGCCTATACGTCAAACACGAATTAGATTTCGAAATACGGAAGACAGTTTACGCTACAATTTTTATCTATACCCTCAAATATTATACATATACATATGTAAATCAATATTAAACAAAATTTTAATAAAGGCTCCTGTTTCAAAACTGTTTGAGGTGCATTCATGCTTAAAGTAGTTTTTTATTTGTTTGTTTGAATGCGAAACTCAAGAACTAAGTCTAAAGTACAAGTATCTACAGTCAGGAAGTCATCTCTGGAACTACTGAATTCATTTTGAAAGAACTATCTCTCTCTGTTATGACGCAAATGAACACACATAGGCTGAATTTAGTGTATATATAGCGCTGGCTGGTAATTATCTTAGCAAGGGCAGCCTTGCGATTCTGTAACTCACTTTTCGAACTCTCACAGCGGCGGTCGCGCTCAAATCAGTCGTGAAGCAGTCATTTTACGATTTGGCATTCTGATAAACAATAAACTACAAGCTCCCTCCGCTTGTCAAGACGTAATGTGAAATTGGTTAACAGAATACCATAAGATTCCAAAAAAACGTGAGTGACGAAGGGAGCGTTGTTAGTGCGAGGTGAACTCACGGATTAACAGAATCGCACGGCAGTTCCAGTGGGGTTCATGAAGCCTGGCATTATTTAGTACTAAAATGGTCATACCCTTTCCGCTTTCGTCATTATGAGATTTCTCATCTGAAGGTGTAAATCATGAGTATGACATTGTGGGCATATGGGCACATAGACAATGTCACAGTTAGATGGTTCTCTGAAGGATTACCTTATACGCTTGCTTTTCTCTTATAGCAAACACATCAATAAAACTGTGTACAGTAATATAGCAACCCTTATTTTTTCTCTTCTATTCTAGTCTTTCTATCTTTATGCTTTAGATTGTTTCATTTGTGTAAACTAAACTATTTGATATTTGTTTATTAAATACACATACATGGTCTAAATGCAGGCCAGTCCTCTTCGGTAACTCTGTTGTCTTCAAAGTCCTGGCCACCATAAGAGAGGAGTAGACGCACACTCTCACCGAGAGCCTTAAGGGGGAAGTAGTACAGCTTGACATTAGGCATGATGATCTGAAAATGTTATAGGTTTGAAGCAATTTTACAATTCTTTAATATAACAAGTGATATAGATATAGGGACATACATATAATAATATTAATTTATTTGCAAGAATTTGGAGGAGGAGAGGGTGTAGTAATCACACCCCACCAATTTTGCGCGCCGGAAACAGTTATTTAAATAAAAAAAATCCAAAAAAAATATTACCAAACCTAACCTACCCTAACCCGTTTTTTTATTTGTTTTGATTTTTTTTTGTTTATTTTAGTTTTTTTTTTATTATATACTATTATTTTATTATATACTAACCTAACCTAACCGAATAATAATAATAATGGATTTTTTGGACAGCTCCGGCGCTACGGGAAATGCATCCCCTTTGTTACAGCGGGTGGGGGCTGCTCTTCCTCCGCGCCTCCGATATTTTATATACACTCATTTTGGATACTTTTATATGGTATGGTACTGGTATAATCTATCAACACATATCTATATATAATCTCTATTCTCTGTTCACCCTGTATGAATTTATAAAATATATTTTATTAGAAATATGAATTTCATTTTTTTCAATGACTAGAAATACGAAACACTTTTTGTATTGAATTTTTAGTTATATACACTTTACATAATGTTGATCTTTTCATTTCAATTATAATATAATTATATTATTTCAATTATATTGAATAGATAATTATCAATTCAATAATAGTGATGCAGGATTATTAGAGCCGGTATTGCAGTCGTAGACTGAGTAGAGGGTTATTACTTATTAGTAGTAAAGATTTAATGTATTACGTACCTACTGATTTAAAACAAAGTGTCAAGTGATACACTTACAAGTTTGGTTCCAAACAGCTCCAAAATACGAGTAATTACTTGCAAAAAGCGCAGAGCGTGCTCTCAAAATAGACACAAAACCTCAATTGACAAAATCACAAAAGTACTGAATAAGTAAATAGGTTTCCCAAATTGATAACGATTACTAGGGATGTGAAAAAATAATCGATTATGGAAAAAATAGATTTTTTTAAAAGTAAAAATCGATTTGTGTATGCTATTTTAATATTTAAAAATAATCGATTAATAATCGATCAATCATAGTCAAATTTTCATCTGCCACCTCCCGACGTAATGTAACTTTCTTTTATAACCCGGACCTCGCACTATTAGGGATATTTGATATACATCGATGTACATTGAATAGATCCGATGCTTTGAAGATGTATACTCGATGCATTGATGTCTTTTTATAAAACATCGAAAGGGTGATAAAACCAGTTAATTTCACAAAAACTCAAGTTTGAATTGAACACTATAATTTAAAAGTAAAATAAATTTATTCAGCAGCACAAGGTTACAAACAATAAAAAAGACAACAAAAATACTGCAATGTGCTACTGAAAAGGCATACACTCAGAATCTATCAAATATCGCCTAAAATCTATCAAAACGAGATTCTTTTTAGAATAATCCAAATTGAAACTATAGGTTACTATAAGCGTACGATGTCGATCTGAACCACCGCCGCTATTCTCGAAATGAAACTCGGAGTGGAGTTATAATTGTTACCGTTTATTGGTCGAACGTTAGTGATGGTGACACAAAATAATACAGCGAAGCGAGCTTATAACTAACGTCCGTCCGGCACGGCTGCGTAAATCTATCTGGTCGTTATACAAATAATAGCTTAAAACTAAACCTAAAACTACCACGCTGGTCAAAGGGACCGACCGGCCCTTCCGCTACCTGCGTCCCGCCGACCGTTTCCTAGAAGAACATCTGGCTGGCAGCTTCGTTCGTCGGCTTTCTAAACTGTATTGTTCGTTGTCCGTAACAGTCTCCCCTCAGCGAAACCTTCCTATGACGTGAAGCTTTCCGTAGGTAGGACAACGAAAATTCATCTGCTAATGCTTGCGCCGTTTTCCACGTTCTTTTGGTAACGTGTTTCAACGCAACTATCTCAATATGTACATCTCTAGTACTTAGGCACCTAAAAATCGCGCCCCATGGCTTTTCATTACGGCGTCCTTTTGTAAGCGTATGACGCCAATCCAATAGAATGGGATTCCTTGTCACCTCTGTTGTCTGTATTTTTAATCGCACACGTACACGCAGTAACCGATCGCTTACGCTTAATCGGCCACTATGATCTTTAAGCTTACGTTTAAATAGTTGTACGTAAGCTGTGGCTCTAATCAGCCGTTCATACTGCGAGAATTTTTCTATATCTGTATCGTTTCTGTTGGCTCTCCTTACGACTACGGTCAAAGTCAGCGCTTGTGGCTCGAAGCTTGCTATTGGCCATGTTTCTTCAGGGCCGTAAAGGAACGCTGGGCCTACGAATGGTGGATGCCTCACTTTTTTATTTCTGATCCACTGCAATACCATCGTTGAATCCATCCATAGCACGATCTTGATTGGTTCAATTCTGTGACCTTCTCTAATAGCCACAGCTAATTGCGCTCCGATAAGGGCTGCCTGTAGTTCTAGCCGCTGTTTACTCTGTGACTTTATAGGTGCCACTGGTGCTTTCGCTGTGATGAACCTGTCGTCAATTACATCGGTTTTAATTCGCCAATATGCCACGCTCGCATGTGCTTGTTCAGATGCGTCACAGAACACATGCAATTGTATCTCTCCTCCCCTCGTGTAAATATGCCACTAAAGACAGTGTTTGTACATTTTCTAACTGAGACACTGACTTTTTAAACTCATACGACTGTTCCATTTTCCGTTCAATGCTTTTAAGCCGATTAAATGCCATATTATAGCTTTCTGGGAATTTCGTGTTATCAGTCTTCCACGGCAACCCCAGGTAGTAACGCCTTTTCCGTTTCTCTATTGTTGTATTGAACAATTGAACTGCACGTGCGTCGGCACTTGTTACCCTTTTTTTATTATTTATACCCAAGGCATCTATTGCAAAACTTTGTTTTAATATCGCCTCTAGACGCTCGTCTATTGTTTCTTTGTAAACGTCGCTTTCTGCCGCCTTTTTTATGCAGTGCAAAACACGTTCGTTGTCTTCCATTAAACTTCGTATAGGTGCTGTACCATGTAAAATCCAGCCTATTCGCGTTAAAAAGTCAGTCGGTTCATTTTTCTTCCCACTGTATACTTTTCTGGAAACGATGAGATGCCAATTGTCAGCTCCAATTAACAATTGTGGTTTAGCTTCGCCAATCATTTGTTGGAGTGGTAACTTAACCAAATGTTTGTAGCGCAAATTATCCGCGCTAATTCTTTGGCTACCAATATCGAAATCACGCATCGTTCGCGCTTTCAAAGTGTAATTAGCCCCTCCGTCATAGCGACTGATGTCAATTTTGACGTGTTGGCTCTCAAAATCTTTCGTTTGAGAACTAACTCCTTGAATTTTTAGCGGCTTGCTTGGCCCGCTCACACCTAATTCGTGGGCTAACTTTTCCGCGATAATTGTAATAGTCGAACCTTCGTCCAGTAGGGCATGAGTTTTTACGATCTTTCCATCTCGGCCTCTCACAGTTACGGGACATACTTTCAGTAAGACGGCTTGACATTCATCCTTTGCAGTCACAGAGGTCGACATAACAACTTCAGCCTCTGAGTTGGATGTTGATGGTTGCACCAACAATGGTTGTTGTTGTGGCTTGTGTACTACCCAATGCAACAACCTATGGTGCGCTTTTTCACACCCATCAATGCCACATCGCTTTTTCCTGCACTGTGATCGTCGGTGATATTCTTCTAGGCACAAAAAACATGCCTTCGTTTCTCTCAATCTATCCCATCGTTGATTAAGATTCATTTTCAAAAACTCTTCACAATGAGTTGCATGATGGTCGCCGTTACAGCAAAGGCACCTGAGTTTCTTCTGTGAGTAAACGCGCTCATTTGTTTTTGATCTAGGTTTACTTGTACCTAGCGATGTCGCTGTTTCTATCTTACGGCTATAATTGAAAGTGAGTTGTAAGCTCGCTTCTTCTAAGAGGTATTTTGAGAGCGTAATGAGAATTGGTTCTTTCTCATTACTATTAGCCTTACCGTAGTCCGTCCATCTAGCCTGATAGTGTAGGTTAAGTTTAGACACTATATCTCGGACTAAGGCTCCGTTACTCGTATAGCTACGATCGTTTACACTTTTCAATAGCCACGCGATGTTTTGCACTTTTATTGCAAACTGGTTAAATTCAACCGCTGTATATCCCGGTCTGGGTAATCGCTTTATTTCTTCCAGCGCTTTATCAATTATAATCTCCGGTCGACCATAACACTGATCTAGTGTATTCATAATAAGCTCGGGATCGCAAGCAGTACTCAATAATACGGCGACTGTTTCTTTAGCGGCTTCCGTAAGACATGTGCGTAATCTTGCCATGTTTTCCGCTTTAGAGTATTTGTAGAGCTTCGTGGAGTCTTCATAAGCAACTATAAAGTAAAGCCAGTCGCAGACATTCCCGTTAAACTGCGGCAGATCTTGAGCATGTCGTACAGGGGGTCTGTTTGTAGCTATTTTTTCAAAGGCTCTGATGAGCCGTTCTATCCCTTGATCTTGGGATCGCGTTCTCGGCACGGAGGCCTCTTCGATAGGTGATATGGGCCGTTCTTTTTCCCAAGACACATTTTGTTTAAATGGCTCCACGCGTTCTGGGAGCGCTGTCTCTTCTTCCCTATCACCTTGAGATAGATTATTCACGCTGCTATGACTTCTTAGCCATCTATCTACCATAGCAGCGGAGTTGTTTCCGTTCCGCTGTTCTGGCAAGCATTCGACGATACTCTCTTCGTCGTCTGCTCTGGGTAAGTCAACAGCGATTCGCTTCTTTAACAATTTCATTTCAAGCTCCATCTCTTGTTCCATCTCCTGTTTCTTTAATTCGAACTTTTTTCTTAAATATTCTTTTTCTAATGCGACCAAGCGTTTTTGGACTTCGTATTCAGCTTGCCTTACACGGGATGCTTTCGACCTCATCGTATTTCTAGAGGTCTGTGATGCTGAACCCACAGGTAACACCGTTGAATCA